TTTTATTTTTGTCAAGGAACATGTTTTTTCAATACTAACATTTCATTTGGTACTGTCCATTTGAGTTTTCTTAAATATTCATCCCTTCTCGTTCATTGTCTGCAAAGTAAGTTTTTATGACATTTTGTAAACTTTCGTTTGCAAGGTCATGTACAATAGGTTCTCTTCCTTCTCTCTCCCTAACTTTCTTTCTAAACTCTTCACCAAATATACCATCTCTATGGTTCTGTGTAGTTCTTTGAGATAAATGTTCTAGAACGTCAGGTGTTATATTTCCATCAGCCATGTTCATTTCATACTGGTTCAAAATATCTGCATCTTTCATATCTTTCAATGGCATTAAAGCCGCGCTTAAAATACCAGCTATATCTGGTTCACCATTGACTTCCATTGCGTCTACAACTTCTTGGAATTGTGGTTGTAAGTTTATGAACCACCTATCTGGATTAGCTTTATGACCCCATCTCATTGTAGTTCCATCGTCTGCAGAAACAAAAGTAGGTTTGTTTCCATCTTGGTTAGGTTCTGAATGAACTTTAAACAATGTTTCATTTCTATATGTTTTGTTGAAATTTAACCTTTTATTTTCACCGAGTTCATCCGAAGATTGAACGTTAAATGCTCGTAAGTAAAAAGGGTTGTTGTATTTGTGTACATTTTTCTTTCAGTGCTTCCATTCTATGCTGAATATTTTCATCTGGTGCTGGAGTCTTTTGTATGTCGGCAAACATTTTTCGATATTCTTCTACTATGTCAGCCGAATTTTTTTTAGACTCTTGGAAATATTCCATATTCTCCGCATACTCTTGTTGAGGGTCAAGATTTTTCGGCTGTTCCAAATCTTCATCTAGTTCTGTGAAGTTAGTTTCCAAAGGAAGGACTTGTTCGTTTCCTTCAGGCTCTTCTAGCTGTTGTTGCTGAACTATTTCTTCCATGTCTGGTTGTATCTGAACTTCTTCCTGTGGATTTCTTGTACCTCATCTGCTGGCATTTCATATATTCCGAGACCGTTTTCAACAAGTTCCCTTCTAATCATCCGGACTCAAAACCTTTCTTCTTTCGTTCCGTCTCTATTTTTTTACGCGTTTCATGAAGAAGTTAAATTGTCATTTAGCTCTGACATCAAATATCTCGGAGTAAATTCGTTCATGTCATTTGGATGATATGCTATTAAATCATATCCCTTTGCGAGCTTGTATTTTCCAGGTTTGAGATTATATCCCTTTTGGTGCAGAGCCATAAAAGCTAAATAGGTTCGGGTCAGTATTTCCATCCTTGAACTTTCAATAGCTTCTTTATATCTGTCACTAAAGTCAATACTATCTGGGTAACCATAGTCTTCTTTAAGCATTTTTAAGAATTCTTGGTTTCCTTGTTCTCTACTTCTTTTATGTCCTTGCTCTGTTTGTGGTTGCTGTGCTGGTTGTGGAGGTGGTTGTTGTGCAGGGTTTTGAACTGTTGGTTGTTTGTGCTGGTTGTGGAGGTGGTTGTTGTGCTGTTGTTGTGCATGCCTGTGTCTGTGTCCATGTGACGATGTAAATGTTCAGGTAGTCCTGGTGCAGGTGCTTCTCTTGGAGGGTTTGGTGGTATATAAGTTCCACCAGCTGGCACATATGTTCCATCTGCCAGCGTAATGTCCTACCTGACTTTTCGTTCTTAAGAAAGCATTTACTAGGTCTGTTTTGGTCTGTTGTAACTCTTTTTCTTGACTTTTCACAACAGTTGCTTCTAACGGCGTCATAGCACTTTGAACTGCCTGTCTCGTTGCTGCATCTGTTATTTTCGTCATATTTTGTGCTACTTCTTTTAACTCTTTGTCGAAACCTTCAGACTTCCAGTTTCTTTCCAGATGAGAAGTCGTTCACTTGTTTCACCTTACTATGAAGAGCTTCGAAGGCGTTCTTAAAGTCAGCATTTGTTAAAGCTTCATTTGAACTGTCTTCAATCCGCTTGTATTTTTGTCCTTATTGACCCTATGAGTTGGGCTGCTTTAGCGTTGGCTTGGGCATCTAACCAGTCATTGTTAGCTTTTATATATTCTGCGCTTTTCATTGCCTTTTGCATGGCTGCGTCGTTATTTTTTACTTTCTTGTGCTAAGTTTTCATACTGTACGGTTTTGGTTTTGCAACTGTAAAAGTTTTTCTGCCTTTACATTTGCTTCAACTTTCTTTTTATTACTCATCGCTATCCATATATGTCTTCAGGGCTTTTTGTTTTATCTCTTCATCTTTCAGTATTTTATATTGAGTAGTTATGGTTTTTCAAATTATGACATCTTGTTCACATTTTTGCTACTTCTGTTGCTTTTTCTGACACTTTTTTCGCATATTCCTCTGTACTTAGTTCTTTCAGTTGTTCTTCTTTCTTCTTTTTCTCTACGTTTAACTCATTGAGTTTCTTTGTGTGTCTGTCATATTCTAGTTTCTTTTCGTTTTCACTTATTTGCTTCTGTATGTCTATGTTTGACTTTTTGACATCTGTTATTTGATTTTTGAGTGAACTCAAATTCATTTTGACTTGAGGGTTAATAGCTGCTTTCCGTCTGCAGCTCCACCATAGCCTGCCATTTTCGCTAAAAGTGCCGCTCTTAAACCTCCACTCTGTGCACCAACAACTCGGTTTAAAAGCATAGGATTGCTTGACATTTGTTGCAACATAGTGGGGTCATTCAGCATTTGTTGTTGCAACTGTTGTTGTGGTGTCAGTCCTTACTATTGGATGTTTCAATGCTCTCTTCCTCTTACGTATATTCTTACGTAGCTTACGTGGCATTTTAAGTGAAGTTAAAAAGCGGCTTTTGACAGATGTTTATATGACACTTCTTGTTCAGCACAAAAAAACTACTCGGTCAAAGTGTTGTCAGTTTTGTAAAATAACCGTCCTATCTCATTCTATAAGGGAAAAGGCTTCTCAAAGTATACTTCCTTGGAACGCCTGTAACTTTTCCTGTAGCGACGATAGACCCTTACTTGTCCAGACAAAGTTACACTATTTTGAGTGCTCTACAAAAAAGTCAACGGCGACGACTCTCAAAAACCGTTGTGTAAAAAGTTTTACCGTTGGACAAAAAAGTATATATAGAAAACAAAAAACGTTTATAGTTCATTCAATATTTGAGATGGAACGGTTTGCCAACGGTAACTATTAAATAAAATAAAAAAATAGAGGGGGTTACCGTTGACGAAAACGGTTTATTTTAAACTTTTCTATGAGTAGTCCGAAAAAAACAGTTCATTTTTGTCTAATGGAAGCCAACATTAACAATTCTCAACCGCTAACCAAAGCCAAAGCCCACAACCTCCAAGAACTGGCACAGCTGTTAGAATAACCGCCAAAAAGTCTAACAGCGAATTAAGAGAAATTCTTCAACAAATTTGCTCTAAATATCTCAAAGACGCCGAAGAAAACACACAACCAGACGCTATATACAATACTCAGTTCTGTGAAGTTCTGAACAAAGCAATTGCTAGTTCAATTGAACTTACTAAGACAATTCCAAGTCCAATTGAGCTTAGCGATGTCTTAGTTCAGTATTTTCCAACATTTACTAAGCTTATAATGTTGAGAACTTTATACCAAGTTCGTCAAAATCTTCCTCGTTACATGCAACGGTCATTCGACAAGAGAATTGCCGAATTCCAAGTCTTTAGTTACGGATATGACCAAGATGAATACATTGACGAGTTCGGAGACAACTGTACAAAATGGTTTGACTGCTATACGACTACACAATTTGAATTCGACTTTCTCGAATTCAACGCAGCAACCATTTATATCATTGCTCTTTACCTTTCCGAACAACAACAAGACCTCGCAGATGGAGATGTTGTTACTGTCGTCATGGAAACTCCTGAACAATTCGGAAAAAAGAAGTCTCTAATTGCCAAATTTGTTCCAGGACATCAGCTTTTCCAACGCACAGAAGTCTTCTGTATTCCTGGAACTAAGTTCTTTGTCAGGAGCGAACTCAAAGAAAGATATAATGTGTCATTCAATTACACATTATATAATGTTTTCGACCCAGAAGAAGGCTTCTTCCCAGAAGCAATGGAGGAAGAAGAAGAGGAGGAGGAAACACAAGACTCTATCCAAGAAGAGTCCTCCGAATTCACACCAGAAGACTAACAATTTTCCGAATAAAAACCTCATTTTTTACTAAACATCTTCGGGGCTAGAAGGGGCGCAGCCCCTGGAAGCCCCACTACCTTTTTTTTTTTTTTTTTTTTTTTTTTTTTTTTTTTTTTATATCGTTGAAGGTTGAAAAAATCTCTAATATTTGAGCCCAAAATTTCAAATTTTAATTTTTTGAAAAAAGAGGCCACCCGTATGTACGTTTATTTGAGAGGAGGATTATATTTTTGAAAGGGTGAAACATTATGAATATGTTAATTATATAATAATATGTATTATTATAAAAAAGAAAAAATAAAGCACGTTAAAATTTTTCTTTCTTGATTTTTTACAAAATCTACTTAGAATTATGCAAAATATGACTAAATAATTATAAATTTCAAGTTAAATTTTAATTTTGATAAATAATTTAAATTTCAAAATATCAAGTTCAGTTCGACTATGTATGTAGTAATTCCTCAATAAAGTGCCAAAACCCTATTAAAATATATGAACATTTTCAACATTTTAATGTTTTTATTTAAAAATTTGTTGGAATATGAGCTTCAAACAATTATTATGTAAATAAAAATAATGAAATATATGTATTTATTCGTATTACAACCGTAGTAAGTCGATTCTTCCTTTCTTCTACTGAGGTTTGAATTTGATTTCGAATTGTAAAGAGATTCAAAGGGAAAATACTAGCGGATAAAAACTACCTCCATGAAAGGGTCAGAATGGAGTCAAGTTGTATTCTTTGATATTTTTTGCTTTTCGAGCCTAAATAGGTAGCCAAGATAATGCCTAAAAATAAGGTTCTAAATTCTGAAGTTTACATGATCCTCTCGTGTGCACCCTTAAAAAATGTAAAGATTTGAAATCAATAATGAGTGATAAAGGAATTACTTCTCAGACAGAAGAATTTCTTAACTCTAAGATAGGAAGGACAGTCTTAAAAGAGTTAGAAACAAAGGCACAAGCAAAAGATCCTCTTTCTATGTTTAGATTAGGCATTCTTTATTATAATGGCAAAACAGTCGAACAAAACATCCCACAAGCTATTGAACTCTTCAAAAATGCATCGAGCGCAGGCTCCCCTGATGCAAAACTCTTATTGAGCACTTTGTATATGAAAGGAGAAAACGTTCCTTTAGATACAAAGACAGCTTACAACTTAGTTGAAGAGGCAGCTGGTGCTAACATCCCAGAAGCACAACATATATTAGCTCAGTTTTTGTACGAAGGCAAATATTGCGCTAAAAATGTCAGAAGAGCTGCAAGGAATTTCAACGCAGCAATTCCTCTAGAAAATCCTATGGATTCTTATATGGTTGGTAAAATTATGGAAGAAGATGATTCTGAAGAGCCAATTTACTCTAAAATTTTGGGATATTACCAACGTGCAGCAAATCAGAATTATCTCGATGCTATCACTGCAACAGCAAGAATTCTTAGATACGGTAAAGGTGATGTTCGCCAAAATAAAGGGCAAGCCTTTAAATTGTACAAGAAAGCAGCAGCAACAGGCGATCCAGAAGCAATGACACGCTTTGGCTCAATGATATACCAAAACGAGTACGGAAAAGATCCAATTGATCTCGGAATCATTTGGCTTAAAAAGGCAATGGACGCAAATTACAATGAAGCCTTTTTCGAATACGGAAAGCTTCTCCTTCCAAATACAGATCCAGAATCAAAGATAAACGCATACAACGCTTTCGAAAAAGTCCAACATATTCCCGAAGCAAAGTATTTACTCGGTAAAATGAAAATCAAAGGCGATGGAACACAAAGAAGTGTTTCAGGAGGCATGATGATGATCAAAGAAGCCTCTAAAATGGGTTACATTCCTGCAATTTATTCAATGGGCATTGGATATCGCGAAAACAAGAATGGCGTTAAGACAAACATCAAAAGAGCTTACGAGTCATTCCAAAAATGCGCAGAAGCCGAGTATCATCCCGGTGAATATCAGTTTGCTTACATGATTGAGAACGGAATTGGCTGCCAGAAGGATGTTGATAAGGCAATCAAGTACTACAAGCGAGCTGCAGATGGTGGAGAAGCTAAAGCAATGTTTAACCTTGGATTAATTTACGATAAAAACAAAAAGTACCATAATACTGAACAAGCGATCAAATACTACCAAGAAGCTGCAGATAAAGGCATCAAAGAGGCTTTCTTCAACCTAGGAATGATATACAAAGACGGAGAAGACATTGAAAAAGATATTACAAAAGCAAAAGAGTATCTTGCTACCGCAGCTGATAAAGGAGTTGTCAATGCTCAATTCTGGTCATACAAAATCAATAAAGATTCGGATATGACGACAGCTATTAAATATCTCCAAATGGCTGCTGATAACGAGCATGGAAAGGCTATGTGTATCTTAGGAAACTTCCTTGTCGATGGTGTAAATGTAGAAAAGGACGTTAACCAGGGAATTTCTTACCTAGCAAAGGCTGCAAGCTTGATTTACGGAGATTAAGCTTATTTTCTTTTTATTTATTTTATATAAAAATTATCTGTTCACTTTCTAAGATAAATTCTTCTATTTTTTCCAAGATTTTTTTTTAAAAATTCTGATTATTTCATGATATGATCATATCAATTCAGTGAGAAACATATGAAATTTAATATTACACCATATATGAGTTGACATTGAATTGATATAATTTTGCCTTAAATTTTATAATATATACGAATAATTCTATTGTTTTTGAAATAAGATACTATAAGTAATTAATTTTATTTACTTGTTAAAGTTAAAAACTTATATTTGGACAACTTCTTGATCGAATAAGACCTAACAATCAATATTTTAGATATATCGATCCACCAATTGTAAAGAAAGTTAATAAATATTTCTAAAACTGACACTAAAATGATTGTGAAAGCATTCTGTTTCCAATTTGAAATTTCAAAAAATAACGTATGGAGAAAAGAATCTTAGTACAACGAGCCACATCCAATTTAACTTATTCTTTGTTTTTTATTTCTATATGGGAAAGAAATTTCTATTCATTCACCATTTTTTTTATATAAATAAAATAGTTTTCCATGCTTCATATACAATGTAATCAATAAAAAAGGTACATTCACTAGGCGATAACAGTAAAATGGGATGAAAATAGGATAAATAGCATCCCTATATAGTGCCTAACAATATTTATACAGGCCAAAAAAATTTGGCTAGAGATTTGGCTAGTTAGAAAATTTAGAAAATTGAGAGGAATTTTTATTTTTGAATTATTTTTGGAAAGTTAAAATTGCGATTAAAAATCGTTTTCCGGGAGAACTAAGCATCTTATCATATATTTAAATCGAGAAAAATATTAAATAATAGTTGAATAGTATAAATACATGAAATTATGGCTGAATATACAGAAAAAATGAACATATTTGACATTTTTGAAAATTCATACGTTAGATGGTGACAGACTCATAAACTATACTTTAGCTAAGATTGATATATGGTTTCAACAACACATGGTTAAAATCGTAAAAATTTTTTTAGATTTCAAAAAGATATATATGGTAATATAATGGAACAAAGTCAACAAATAGCATGTAAAATATGTTACAATTAACTTTTTATTAGATCCAATAGTAGATATCGAATGGTTTCCAGCTTTATGGTTAAATATTTTCTTTTCGAGCTTCTCTTTAACTGTTGTATTAAGGTTGTAAATTTTTGATGCTAGAAACTTTGGAATCTTCTTTGCTGCTGCATTTTTTCTTGAGAGTTCTTGCAATTTCGAATAGATCTGCGCATTGTATGAAATGGAGGCTTTAAAATATCTTGAAAACAGAATAGGACTGCTTTTCCAAAGGAATGCTTACTTGTAAATCAGAGAGTTTCAAAATTGAGTACAAGATTATCATCATAACTTTTGATTTTGCTGCGAAAAAGGAAGACAATGTATTAACAAATCATTTACTGTTGTTCATCAAAAGAAGAAAACTTTGATAACAACTAATGATGATAAAATCAAGCTATCTTTTAATATTTTAAATTGATAAGACATTCAAAATATTTGAATGGTTTAAAATATTTTCTTTTAATTTCAATAATATATTATCATGATTATATAATCAAATTTAAATTTTTATTCAAAAAGGCAATATTTCAAACTTTTAATTTCAATAATCTTAATTCTGCAATAAGTGTATTTAATTGTAGCAAATTTAATGATACTTCGTCATGCTTAGCAATTTGGAGCTCATAAATTAATGATTTCTTCAAGTAAAATTCTGCATTATTTCAAAAGTCAATAATTCTCTAGTAACTTTTCTTCAAACCCTAACCATTATAATATATGTAAAATAGAAAATAATTGCAAAGAAAGATAGCCGAATTTACTGGGTAGTTCTTGTGATGCGAAATAATTGGAAATTAACACCTAGTTTTAACAGCATCATTCTCTTTTTGCTCTCATTTAAATGCATTTGCACACTTTAATTTTGAAATATAAGAGTTTTGGAAATTATCAAATTTATCTGCTCAAATACTATAGATCTTCATAAGTGTTAATAGAATCATTAGCCTTACATATAGTGTTTAATATAATGATGCACATTATACTGGGATTCATTCCTTATTCATCTAGTTATTATAAGATTTACAACCCCATGAAAATTTAAAATTTTGTCAAAAATAGTGAATGTACCTTTGTTAGGAAATATGTAACCAAATTAATATACTTCCTACAAAGAATATAATTTTGTGCAAAATGGTCAATACTTCTGAACAGTCTTTTTTCCGTTCACAAAAAAAAGTGAGGAAAAAAAAATTTAGTCAAATGTCTGCTCCATACTATAAGACCTTATGTGCAATCAACCAGACCAGCAACGATGTTTTATCACTCATTAACTCACGGCGCCGCAATCCTCTTAAGTTAGAATCCGACCTTTGCAGATTGGCCAAAGAAGCAGTCAACGTCCAGCTCAAAGGCTTAAAAGTCGATACAAGAGGATTGAGCCACTATTACAGATATGCACCAAATACATTAGTTTTTGCAAATACAATCCAAAGCAATAAGTCACATAGTGATTTTCCTAATATCATCCTTGAAGATTTGGAAAAAGCCAAAGGCTTCCTGTTCAATTATCTTCTCACAGATAGAGTTGACTACGTCGGCCTTCACACAGAATTCCCATCCGAAGGAATTTGTGTTTATGCTGTGATTGCCTACAAAATCAATGAATTTCCAGCTTCAATTAAGGGAATTATTGATAAAATCGAAGGTAAATGCAACAAAGAAAATATTCTCGGCATCTTGAACTCAATTCTTCAAATCATTCAGCACAAACCATTAGAATTCAACGACGAGCTTAAGAGATCCATGTACAACCAGGCACAAGCCATTCATGATGATAAGAACAACCTAGGCAAAGTTGTTGAGATTTTAAACTCAACTTTCAAGGACATGGGCAATTTCGTCATTTTACCAATTGAAAGCAACGATGCCAAGGCTTTCATCAAGAAATACATCAATGATACAGTGTTTCGTTCATTTTTAGTTTCAGATATCGACCAAATTGCTTTCGACGCAATTAACGACAGCGACGGCCAATTATACTACTTCTTCGGAGCCAAGTACTCCAAGATTGAGATCCCTATTGACGAACGTTCTGAATATTCCGGATCCATCATCAAATCCTTAAATGCTTTCAGAGATACCCAGAAAATCCCAGCCCTCCCAGCAAAAGGCAACGAATTCATCGAACAAACCCTCGATACAGCCTCAATTTCTTCACAAAAAGAACTCGACGTATTTATAAACAAATACTCATCGGAATTCTTCGCCCGTATCATCAACGCAGGAAACATGCAAGATGCATGCAAGAAGATCTCAGATTTGACGTTTAATGAAGGTATCGAATTTATCAAATCCGCTACAGAATACGCGATCACAATTACGAGATTTAGAGGTACAGCAACAATCATTTTAATCCTCTTTAATAAGATTGATAAGAAGAGAAAAGACGATAGAAAACTTGACAAGGCCAAGAAAGAGGGAAGAGAAGAAAAACCAAAGAAAGAAGAAAAACCAAGGAAGGAAGATAAGCCAAAGAAAGAGGATAAGCCCAGAAGAGATGATAAACCAAGAAGAGATGATAAGCCGAAGAAAGAAGAACCAAAAGAAAAACCAAAGAGAGATGAGAAGCCAAAGAAAGAAGATAAGCCAAGAAATGAAGAAAAGCCAAAGGGTGAGGATAAGAGAAGAAGGGGTGATAAGCCAAAGAAGGAAGAAAAGGAAAATCAGCCAAAAAGAGAACCATTCGCTCTTGATAAGGCAATTTTCGACTTATTAAACATAAAACTTGGCGAAATGAACTTCCATACAATAAAGAGATCAGAGGAACTCGACAAGAAGGCTCTAGAACTTGCAAATCTTAGAGCAAAAGACCAAGCTATCAGATTTGATCCATCTGAATATGAAGACATCAAAAGTAAGTACTCAGAAGTTAAGCCAATCGCTGTTAACCTCGATAATACTTCTAAAACAAAGAAAATAGAAACAGTCGAAAAAATCACTTATAATATCGGAGAGGTTGACTATACTCACATCGGAATCGCTTCTAAAGGATCTTTCGGACGCCGCCTCTTCGTTATAGTTATTCTCGTTAAACAATAAAGATTTTTTTTTATTTATAACATATTGACTTTTTTTTTATTTGGGAAAGCTCCTATATAAAGTTTGCGTATGGCTCTGAATAGTTATGACTTAATTTTGAAAGTTTTTATTCAGAAATTTTATTCATATTTTGATAAACATATATTATTATTCTCCCCGATTTGCATGACGTATTGTGCCGACCAAATAGTGAATAATTCGATTTTTCAAATAGTTTAGAAACATGAAATGCTTGTCTTCTAAACATTTATTATAGAAATCAAGAGAATTGGATATTAATAAACTTGAATTTCATTAAATGGTAAGTTGATCTAGATGAAGATACTTACAAATACATTTAGTTAATATAATTTTCGCAAATCCAGCAATATTTCATGAAACTTATGTTTATTCAGTTGAACGCTTATGAAAAATACTAATAAATTATATATACTCTTTATGTTGATTCATAAAATTATATTTGCCAGTTCATTTTATATAAATTCAGAAGCAATTTTAAATATTATTGAAATGAAACTATATTCAGCAGCATTCTTCAAAATCTCATATACTAAGAAGTACTGTCATTTCAGTTCTTCTCCAAAAAATGTTTGGACACAATTTTATGATGAATTTCCTAAATCAAAACCACAAACAAGGTTAAATATTAAAGCAACTACAAAAAATAACGAGTGCTTCATATATAACAGTTTGTTTATTAGAATTTCTATAGATAGTTCTCTATATTTTAAAGATATTAAAAATAATAATTTTTTAATCTCAGATTGTTTATTTAATAATTGTAGCAGTAATAACGAAGGTGGAGCTTTATACTTTTTATGTGATAGTTCCATTATTCAATACAGATCATGTGGATATAATTCAAAAGCAAATAAAAACGGGCAGCATTCATATGTTCAATCACTTGAAAGTTCAAATAATAAAAATTATCTCTTTGAAAGTTCATTTTATGAATGCGGAATTCCGAGTAAATGGGGAACAAATTATATTATGTATGGTAACATTAAAGTTAATTCAATCAACACAAGTTTCTGCTCGGCAAAATATGGATCAGGAATATTTCTTTGGAAGCCAAAAGATACTAGTAACATTACATTATCATCATTTTGTAACATATCATCAACAAAAAATGTAATTAAATTTGATTGCAAAAATGGTAATCATAGTCTTAAAAATTGTAATATTCTTAATAATGAATGCCCAGAACAAAGCTCAGCAACTTTCACTGCATCCAACGCAATTATTCTTATTGAAAACTGTTCATTTTTAGGAAACACAAGGCAAGGAGTAGAATTTCAACAAGATAATGATGGTTCAATTACGATTAAAGATTCATTCTGTGACAGAAAAGATAAAACAAAAGGATCAGTTATTTCAAATAATGTTCAAAATAAATATTCAATCCATAATCTTTCACATTTTTCATCATATTTCTGTGAAAGAGATTATCCAACAATACATCATCCAATTCGAATAACAAATTCGTTTAAACGAGTTACGAATCATAATAGAAGGCGGTGATTTAAATTTCAATTATATCCGAAGAATGAAATCAAAGATTTTGAAATTTCACATGAATTTGAGAATACTCCTTAATTGAATATGTTATTCATCGAAGAATATACGTTCAAACATGAATTTTGAATACGTTGCTGCTCATATCAGCAATTATATCAATAACGAAAATTTCCTTTATGCATTTAATATGAGAGATATCAAAACAATCATGAAATATTCATATCTGGCAAGTGATCAATACTTTTCTCTTCTCAAACAATCTTCATCAACTATCAATGCCAAAGAATTATATATCTGTACACGAAGGAAAAAGATCGAAAGCGAAAAAGGAATTCTCAGTCTTGTTAAATCACTCATCGAATGTTATGGTGATAAAGATGTAAAGACTAATTATGGAAAAACTCCATTCATTCTTGCATCATGTTATGGATATCTTGACATCGTTCAATATCTTATTGCAGTTGGAGCTGATAAAGAAGCAAAGACTAGTTCAGGAAAAATTGCACTGATGCTTGCAAAAGATATTGTGAGAGATTACTTAATGAACGAGCCCGAATCATCTAGTTTAATAATTCTAATCCTGATAAACCTACATATTTGAAATCATTAACTTCTTCTATATTTATGAATCTATACAAAAATTTATATGAATTATATCTAAATATTTTACTCATAATTCTGAATACTTGCTAAAAATTGTGAATTATACATTACCTTATGAGAATTTAAAACTTGAATTCATCTGTCGTACGTTAACTAAATAATTTTAGTCTCAGATCTATTTCAAAAATAAAACCAATTATAAATGTGATAGATGTCGAGACATCAAGAGTTATATTTAACTCCATTAATGCATACCAAAGTCCCTGCAAGATATAAAGAATTTGTTTTTTCGTAAACGCATTCATGTTTTGTTTGCTGGTAAATTATTTCAATGGCTATGTAATCAATAACTTCTTTTGTTTCACCTGCAAACTTTGCTGATCTTCCCATATGGATATAAACAGACTTTTTTCCGAAGATATTTTTACATTTGTCTGATAATAGAGTATCACTCGTGATATATAAATGACTTTTGTAAGGAAAAAGTTTATCTGTTTGATAGGATATCACAGAAAAATTATATGGAATGTATATTTCCATTGGATTTGTTATGTCAATAAATACATCCCTATTAAAAGATATGATATTGTTTAGAAATGCTATTGTTTTTAGATTTGTGCAATTTTGAAATGCTCGAAATCCAATTGATGTTACTTTTCCTGGAATTGTAATAAATTGTAATGATATGCACTGGTAAAAGACATAATCCCCTATCATTAATAAATTTTCTGGCATCAAAATATTCGTCAATGATTTACAAGAGCCAAATGCAAAATCTTCAATCTTTGTGACATTTTTTGGAATTTTGAAACTTCTTATTGATGAGCAGCTATGAAATGCTCTAATGGAAATCGATGTAATCTTATTATTAAGCTGAATTGAGGTAATTTCTTCGCATTTATAAAAACAAAATTTGAAAATTGATGTGATAAAGTTCGGAACAATATAATCACCTGAAAATGTTGGAATAACATATAATAATGTTGAATTATTTGTTCCATTATAAACAGATTTAAAATCACTTCGAAAATATAGATTTTCTGGATCAACTGTAATATTATCAATTGGACAATCACCAAGGGCAAGAGGATTAAAATCTTTGAGATTTTTTGTAATATAAAAAGAATTGATTTTATTCCAATCGAAACAATTACCATCTAATTTTTGCAAGGATGAATTTAATGAAATATTTATGGCAGTTAAACTGCAGCCAGAAAATGCACCCATCGAAATATTAACTACGGAATCTGGGATTTGTATTGATGTTAGATTTTTATTACCGGCAAAACAAAGTTGCTCTATAATTAAAACATTTGGAGGCAGGATGACTGATTTTAAGTTATAGCATAATTGAAAGAGACCTGTGTTAAGCTTTGTAAGTTTTGTGCAACTACTAAAATTTACAGATTCGAGGCTTGTTCTGAAAAAACTTGCAAAGCTTATTTTTGATATTTCACTATTCTCTTCAAATTTAAGAGATGTTATTTGAGTCTTGCAATTCATAAATGCATAACTATCATAATTATAGCTATATATTTCTGTAACTATTCGTGGGATAAGAACTTCACCGCTAAAATCTGTTGTACAGCCAACGACAACTTGATTACTATCACGATATATGAGTGATCCAACACTAGAACATTGAACTAATAGAAAATAAAGCATGAGCTTGTGGATTAATCAGCTAGTTTTTTCCCTTATGATCGATATTTTTTTAGGACTTGCGAAAATGAAAATTTCAAAATCAGAATTCTAATATTCTATCTTAATTTGATCATTGATTTGCAACGAAGTGATAATCTGTAGATAGTCATCATTGAAGTTATTATAAGTAAAGTACTCATCTAACAAATTTATATAAATTTCATAATTTATGTTGGAATTCACTTAGAAATCGGAGGCTTATAAGTACCAAAAATACCTTCTGTTTTGGCACCGCATACAGCATAAATTTTATCTGTTTTGAATCTTCCAAAAGTACATTTTCAAACCTACGATTATTTTTAATTCAAATATGAGAATTTTAGAATAATCCTATTCACATGTAATACACTTCTTGCATTATATTATTATATTAGATGACCTCTTCTTGTTTCAGTATCTAGATTACATTTGTATTATATCTCATTTCATCAATATCTCAGTAAGATATCAAAAGCAAATGTGAAAACATTCACTAGCATTATTTCATACTTTGATAAACAATTGATTTTATAAAATTCCAAAAAATCAATTTTCTGATTCTTTATCCAATTTGATTTTTAACAAGGAAAGTGATATTTAAAAGATATAATTAAAATATAGTTTTAAAATGTTTATACACTAGAAAGAAAAAAAAATTATAAAATAAAAAATTAGTCTTGAAGCATCATTTCGATGAATGGCTGGTGAACTGGGTACTTATCTCTTACGATAAGGTTTCTTTCGTTGATTGCGTCGATGTGGCTATTAATGTCGTTGATCGGATGGGCCAAAGCGCTCTGGCTCATGTAGAACCTGACCATTGCCTCTTCCGCTGTGTCTCTGACCAAAGAAGGAAGTTCCTTCTTCGACACAACGACGGAATTCTTAAGTGGTCCGAACTTGATTTCGTCGTTTCTCGAGAACGTGTCGACTCTGAACGTTCCTGTCTGCAGAGGATAGACTACAATGTGGACCTGGTTGAATTGGCTCGTGATCGTCGTTGTATTGTAGTCTTTTTCTGATGTGCAGTAAATGATGTGGACGTGGTCGTTTCCTATGTGCCTCTTCTTGTAGATCTGCTGGTTATCGTTTTCTGTTGGGTCGTTCGGAAGAAGGGGAGCCACGTGGAACATCATTTCGTGCATTGAATCGGCGTAGTAGATAGATGTGCGGCCATTCCTTGCGTTCTTGGCATCAAGACCTCCAAGATAGCCTTTGTGGTCTTTCAAACTGATCGGCCAACCAATTCCGGTTATAAATTCCGAAAAGTGAGGAGTTGTCTCTTCGAAAGTTGTTGATAAAATCATATTCTGGTCAACAGCCTTGTCGTGGACGAACAAAACTCCGAATTTGGTGCCGAGACGAGTTGCGTGAGTATTTACTTTTTCTAGAGTGTCAAGAGCGATCTTTTCGGAGGTATCGATGACCTTGAGGTGGTCCATGTTGCTTGTGGAGCATCGACCAGTGGCGACGAAGACACTTGCGACTGGATTTACAAATGAAATCGGAGGCCTGCTGTATCTTGCAACTTTGTCTGCATAGACGCTATCCTTGAACTTTTTGGCAGCAAGTTCGATGTTGGAAAGAATGGTTTCGAAGTTGCCGTCGCTTGGAATTTCGTCAAAGTTGAAATTATCCTTGAAATCATGGTCAAGGCGCTTAATTACTTCATCCATCGTATCAGCAAAGGTTTTCTGATGCTCAATATTATATGTAGGAATAATTTCTTTCTTTCCACCATTACAAAAAGTGCCAGAAATTTGAGGAACTTGTTCCAAGGGCAAAATGTTATGATAGATTGGCTCGAAGTCCCAGACGAACTGGCCACTGCATGTCTGGCTTGAAACCTTCACTTTCTCGCCTTCAATGGCCGTTCCTGTGATGATTCCGTCCAATGAGAAGAATTTGGAGTTCTCGTGGTCCTTCTTGAAGGATGACGTGTTGCTCATGATCTCGACTGTCTCGTGGAATGGGTATTTGCAGTAATACTTCGAGAGATAATCGATACAATTTCTCATGAAGCTGGAAACGTCCTGTGTGAAGCCGCTGGAGCGCTGCATGCCTTTATTAAGGAACATTACGAAGTCTGTGTACTCAGAATCCGTCTTCATTACGGCGCTTGTCTCTACATAACAATCTACAGTTAATCTTACGACGTGGAACACCCATGTCTCTGTATCTGAGCTTGTGAGCTGGCAGCAATACTTCGAAACGTTACCAATGAATGTTTTGACAACTTTCGGATTCAATGAAGCGATTTTCGTCATAAACATGAGGAGGGACCTTATCGAAACAAGGCTCTCGAGGGATCTGAGCTTAAGCGCATCGACAAAGTACTGTAAATATCTACTTATTAAATTAAGATCTGGATTTTCGTTTGTGAGCTCATCTGAGATCAATGTACCATACGCAGGAATGAGTAATTCGAACAGTGAGTTCTGCATGTTCGGATTTTCCTTCATTGCCAACATATGCATCCTATCAATTAATTTTATCGATCTTTCCCTCAAATTTTCTGGTGATCGGAGCAGTTTCTGTTCTGGATCGCTTATGAACATGGTCGGGCAGCGGTGGACGATAGAAAGGACTGATTTATTGAAAGGTTCAGAGAAAGTAGCTGTTACGTGGAACAATGGGAATGAAGTAAGGAAGGACAGCTCTTGTGAAGATGTTTTGATGAAGGAGGACTCGATTAAAGTCATCATTACCGGTACTAATAACAATGATCCAGTAAATGCGTGTTGTACAATGTTGAGAGCCTGCTTAAAACCTTCTTCTCTTGTGTTCTCATCTGTAGAGAGCATTTGGAGGCATGTTGCGGCGTACCACATCGATAATGATTTTTCATTTAAGTAATTCTTCATTTGGTTGATGTTTAGGATCTGCGCGAGTAAGTTAAATGAGATCGTGCGTATCCTGTCGTCATCAATATCGAAGATCGCTGAGAAAAGAGCGTTGCCGCAGATCTGGAACGGAATTGTACCATTTATCTCAATTCCCGGTGGGAACAAAAGTGATCTGGCCAAACAGTCAGCCATGGCCATGATGGGCGCGAAGGCCAAAAGGCGTTCCGATGGATACAAACCTTGATAAAACTTGAATTGTTTGGAGAAAAAGACAATTGTTTCTAGAACTTTGTCCTCTGGTAGTGAAAGTGGCTGTATGTACATGTTGACGAGGATTTTTTCGAATTCTTGGAGCTCTGGAAGCAATTGATTCAATTTCTGACAGACAAAGTCATTGGGAGAGTCGAATATCGCTTGTAAGTTCTCCGCAATGAAATCGTAGATCGTATTTTGGCGGTTTCGCTTATTTCTGACGACGAAATTCTTGCAATGAGTTATTGCGTCTTGTCCGAAGTTGTAAATTACCGGAATTGAATAGAAAACGAGATACTGGGCGTATAATACAATAGTTGCTGAACCGATTGGCCTTCTACAGAATTCTTTGCAGAAAAAGAGCCAAATCTCTTCTCTTCTCTCTTGTGTAGACACCAAATAATGTAGAGTGCAATGTACGAAGTGGGCGAATGCTCCTTCTTCGTTTTCATGCGATACAAAAATTTTTGAAAGAGCTGTCTTGCAATTATTGAATTCCTCCTTGCTTATCATGGAGAATAAGTACTTGCTGATGATATCGTATGAAGCGATAATGAGTGGCTCCTCAATTATACCGTTGTTTTTACAATTTGAGGAAAGAACTTCGAAAATCAAATCGCCGATGCTCAGCTGGAATTTGTCGTATGAGTTAATGCAAAGTTGGTATGTACTGTCTTTCTCATAGATACTTGACAACAGATTAAAAGTGACAATTAAGTCTCCAGTGCATGGATTGTAAGTTGTAGCCTTGCAGATGGATAGCATCATGATGATGTGGTCCCTGGTGAAGAGTAATGCGTCGAGTGGCTTTAAGTTGTCTAAAATTTTCTTTAAGAAGAGCATGACGCAGCGATGGAGTTCTGTTGGTAAGACTGTGAATCCGTAGTCATGAGTAGCTACCGAATTCTTTTCGCAAAGTGCTTTGTAGATGATTTTTACGATGCAATTGAAAAATAAATTCAAACTGAGGCCTTCACGGATTGTCCAGTTCTTGAACAAAAAGTCAAAAACCATTTCAAGGGATTTGCTGGCATCAGGAGCCGTCAATCCTGGACTTTGTGGGTCAATAATCGGATTCGAATTGGCATAAATCTTTGCATTTGTAAGAGATTGGTCTTCGTATTTTGCAACGATCAAATATGGTACGATTAATGGAAGCGAAAGTTGAAGATCATCAAGACTTTGATCATTAAGAACTGAAATCAAGTTGAGGTAGTTTTCAAGAGCTTCTATATAATATACTGCTGGAGTTTTGGGATGAAGTAATGTTCCAAATATTTTGTCTAATAATTGGATGTCTTCTTGTCGAATTGAGCCTGGAGCGACATATTGAAAGATTTTTCGCATACACATGTTCAATGATTTCGCATCGACATACTTAGCTTTTTTGAAAAAACCGGTGTCTTGAATTTTATTGAATTCACGAAGATATTCAACAACATTTTCAAGAAATTGGTGGAAGCCACTTTTTAAGAAGGACTGAGGACTGAAACCTTTATCTGTTAAGATAGTTTTCATATTCAGTTCACAGGGGTGTGGCGCCATGTTAAAAAATTGTCAAAATGACTCTAAAATTATTTTTCCATATCTAGTTGATAATCGGATAGTGGACTGTTCTTGCAACAGTGTTGCATGCTAAGTAGTGTCAACGATAGAAATTGAGAGTCTATTAATCATCGAGGAAGTACGATTATTTTTTGGGCAAAAAAGTATCTTAAAATATGATTATTAATATGTTTTTAAAATAAAAAATTTGAAAGTTAATTTGAGATTCTCATATAATTTTTTGAATGAAAAAAGTAAATATAGTCTATATGAGTTTTTGAATAATCACACTTGAGATATATCTCAAAAATAATTAAAAATAGAGTTTGAGAAGACTTTTCAAGGTGTAATGAAAAGTGTGATATAGAAAATAATTATAGATATTTTAATTTTATATATTGTGCTAAGCATTATATTAAATTTTTAGGAAAAACACTTTTCATAAGTATTCAATATTTGAAAATACGCTCCAAAAAAGAATAGATTCTTTTATATTCGCTTATATAAAAGGAGACTCTCTATCAGATGCGAATGCCTGAATTCAGCACCTCTGATAGAGAGTTTCCTCTTATATAAGCGGATCTTTTTCATTCGTTTTTGTTAATATAAAAACATCAAAATCTACCAATATGAGAAATTAAACCCTGCGAGGTGCCAGTCTAGAACTGGCACCTCGCAGGGTTTAATTTTTCTTGACAAAATACAATAATCAAATGCTCCAAAGTTTTCAAATTTTTATTAGGAATAGGAGCCTACAAAGCACTGATTATATATCAGTGCCTGGTAGGCTCCTATTCCTTCTCTAAATGGGAGAAACTTTGTTTGAATAAGATAACATGCGAACAAAGTTTCTCCCATTTAGAGTGGGGTTTGGAGGGTGGGAGGTACATAGATAGACTATGTATCTCTCACCCTCCAATTCCCTCGGGAAAGTTCGAAAACTTTGGTGCAATCAGCAACGATTGCACCAAAGTTTTTGCGTTTAATTGAAGGAATTGCTCTTTATGATATATACAGTTACAATGCATATATCATAAGGAGCAATTCCTTCCAGATATCTGGCAAACTTGCTCGCAATGGTTCACAATTGCGAACAAGTTTTGTCATTTGTCAAGAGAAATTAAACCCTGCGAGGTGCCAGTTCTAGACTGGCACCTCGCAGGGTTTAATTTCTCATATTGGTAGATTTTGATGTTTTTATATTAACAAAAACGAATGAAAAAGATCCGCTTATATAAGAGGAAACTCTCTATCAGAGGTGCTGAATTCAGGCATTCGCATCTGATAGAGAGTCTCCTTTTATATAAGCAAATATAAGAGAATCTATTTTTTTTGGACCGTATTCTCAAATATTGAATACTTATGAAAAGTGTTTTTTTCTAAAAATCTCAGAATATATTTACAATAGTAAAATAAATAAGATATTTAAATTTATTTTTAAATGCTTTTTTTTATATGAGATTCTCAAAAGTTATATCAAAAGTCTGTTTTTTCTAAAATCTAATATCATAATCTATTTCTCATTTTAAGTACATCTTAATTCATTTTATTTTCTATATTTTTTCAATATTTTTGAGGGAATTGTGTTGCTTCCCCGACGATAAAATTGAGAGGTTTACACATTGACACTACTTAGCATGCAACAGAATTTATATTATTTACCTATAATGATGAAATACTATAGCTACATTTATTTTATTTGTGAGTTATATGGCAAAAATTAAACAGTTGAAACAAATAGTGATGTATACATGAATTATACATAGCATATACTAGCTCGTAATTGTTCGCTAGAAAGCCAATTTGAGTGTTTTATTATTTGATGGATTTATTAAGAGATATAAATGAACAAGGAGTTCAGACAATTCACAAACTATAACAATTAAATATATCTATGGTACCATCTTGATAATTAGCAAGATATTTTATCATGATATTTCCTTATAAATAAAATAATCTATATAAACTGGACCAAATCATTATGAAATGAATAGTTTTATTATAATTTTGATTTAATTGATTTTAGAAATTATCATTTGACACAAGTTTACTTGGCAAATTTCCCTTCAATTTTTCTCTTTTCCTCTGATTTTGCCGAGATACATATATGGAAGATGACTATAAGAAAGAGAAAAATGATGCAAATGATAAAATAAATATAATACCTAAGCAAAATTCTGGAACACCTTATTTAGAGCTTGATATTCCAGATTTTTCCGAAAAATCAACAAATGAAAAGATCGAGATATTTGTTAATCAGATATTAGATGGTTTTCAAGATGTCGAAACATCAGATCAAGATAATTTTGCTCAAAGAAAAAATCTCGTAACTTGGCTTAAATATTTTCGTATTTTTGTTGACAACGATGTAGCATTTGAAAATTCATACGATTCATTGATAGATTTTTACAAACAACTGATAATTAATTGTATTGAGCTCAATCTCAAAGACAAAATAGTACACAGCATAATAATCACATTTAGTAGGATGATTGTAAAGGTTCCTGCCTTGATTTCAATACTAATTGATCTAGATTTTTTCAAAATGTTGATAAAAGCACTAAACTTAGGAGCTTTGAGAACTTCTCAAGATGCATTTCAATGCTTGACATTAATATGTGAACTTGCACCAGAACATTTTCATTATTTAGAAGAATTTTTTTCTCCATCCGAAATTTACGAAATGATTATTCATTATAGTGCAAATGAAGAAGAAACCTTACAGTATGCAGAATATGCAACGATGCTGACCAAATATCTCTACTATTTCTGCTTAAATTGCAAAGATATGAGTGATGATAATTTTACTTCACTCGGAATCTTAATACAGCACACATACAGATACGAACAAACTTGGCAGAAGATGTATGTATTCAAAACCCTATATTTACTTCTAGAAACCGATAAAATTAAAATTTCAGATATTGGACCAGATTATTTCAATATTAGCTTCCAGGATCAGTTCAAAGACTATGGGTTATCGAATGGGCTCGAATTATGCAAGCTGATGAATTTAATGTTAGAAAAAGGCTGGGATGGCAAAGAATATCCTTATTGTGAGATTCTTTTTTTCATATTTAGCTATCAAGCAAAAGAATCTACTTATCCGATCATGGAAACATTGGCTTACGCTTTAGAAAAAATGCCAATTGAAATGAAAGCTTGCTTTCTTGATGATTCATTGAAAGAGTACTGTAAAATAATATTAGGATGCTGTTGTGCAATAGGAAACGGCCAACTCTGCAAAACATTTGGTTCTATGTTGAGAATGGGTCAAATTTTGGTAAATCTTTATCAGGATTTCCCTGAAAAGCTGATGAATTTTTACCCTCACTCATACCAAGCATTGATAAACCTTCTTCAAATAGAAAATGTTCCTCTACAAAAGAAAATTTTGAAACTTTTTATTTTTATGACACAGACTATAATGAACATGAATTTAAAACCATTTCCTGAAATAGTAGCATATTTCGAGGAAAATGATGGTGCTTCTGTCATGGATTTCTTGATTGAACAAGAAGATGAGGAAATTGAAGTTTTGCTTGATCAGCTTCACAATTTATTATATCCATAATGACATGTAGGACTATTAATCCTTTTTAGTAAACTGTTTGTATTGATTTCTTAATTTTTAATGCGATATTAATAAAATTACTTTTGCGGATAACATTAATACTAAAAAATAAGATATTTGGTAAACAATACAAAGGAATTGATCTTGGATAATTTTTATTGATTTTTAGGTTATGCTATTGATTTGAATTTGATTAAATATTTAAGATCTACATGTAAAAATACTTATGTTCCTGATAATGGTTTCCATTTTCAATTCAACGAGTTATAAAATGATTTTAATTTGAAATTATTGTTAACAGCATGATTTAGAACAAATATAATTTCGATCTTTTTTATTGAAAAATTTACTTCTTTTTCAAATTATATTTTCCGAATGAAAAAGGTCAATTGGGATGAATTGAATAGGTTTATTAAAAATGATTGCTTGCAGATCATTTCATATGGTTTCAGTCCATATGATTTTGCAGTCGAAAACTGGAATAATGGAACAAATTCAAATATAAATGTAGCTGATCTTCTCCGTCAAACACGCCAGTTTGCATTACAAATTGCAGATGAATATGCAGTCCCTCTTGAAGTTAACGCTAAAACATATACGAAAAAAACAGAACTACGTAAAGAAATTGACGATTTCTTAAGAGAAAAGAACAAAATTATTGATAAGACACGTGCACGTTTTACAATAGATCCAGAAGATCTCAGGACCAAATGGCTCAAAACAATTAAATTAGAGAAAGAAATTGAATTGTTCGAAGAAATCGAAAATTTGATCACTGTTTCTCCAATTGTTTACTCAAAGATCGAGCAAGGCAAGCATGCAGAAGCAGTTAATCACATCAGACACGCATTTACTACTTACGAAGAGCGAGGATTCCAAAAGATTGAATCTCTTAATTCAGTCAAAGAAAGTATCGATAAAGCACGTGCTGATATGGTTAATCACGTTAAAAATCAACTATTCTCATTACTTTTCGTTGCTCAAAAACCAATCGGAGTTTCATTTTTCAAACCACAAGCAGGAATGGACTTAAAGGTAACTTACATCGATACAACCAAGGTCGAAGAATATACAGGCTTATTGGTTAATCTTAATATTCAAGATGAGTTCGTAAATCAGCTAACTGTCTCTGTACGCGACAGATTGGCCCATATGATGTCCGAAACAGCCGATGCAGTCAAAGTAAAGAAAATTCGCCAGTTCGTACAGAACAAAGAAGGCTTTGAAGAACTTTGCGACATTGCAAACAGTTACAACTATCACCATCCACTTGTAATGTTCCTAGACCAGCTGTTGTCGAAGATGGGGGTGCTTTTGGTCCGTTGCAAGGCTTTCGACCAAACTTTTTCAGGAGATAATCTCGCATTCTCTCGTTCCTACGAAGCAGTTGATGAATTACTACGAGACATAGTCACTGCATTTACAAGCGCTCAAGGATCGAAGACAATGAGCGCTGCAAACCATCTTTCCTACAAATTTTTGATGTCAGATGCGGCTCCAACGAACGGAACAGCTTCGGCGTTGAGGAAAGAGCTCGGCATCAAACCATGTTCGGCCAACTCCCTTCATATCTTCATGATGCTTGACGATTTCAACAAATTAATCCAAGATAAATTCGGAGTTTCGAACCACGCATTGACAAACAGAATGACGATCGACCTTGATGTTCAGAAAATTTTTACCGACCAAACAAAGCTCATCAGCGACAGTATCGATGTTTCTAGACCGGTGAAGATCGAAATCCACCCAGTCCCTGTCTTGATTTCGACTCCTCTCCTGCTAGAAAACATCGACAAGTACTCGAAGATCGCGGCCCGATTCCCTTATATACAGACAATGATCATAAAGAATTTGATTACATTTTTGAAGGCATTTAACCAAAGATGTCTTACGGAAATTGGTCGAGTAAAATCCCTTGAAACACAAGACCAAATCGTTTCCTCCAAACTCCTCAACAACGACAAAGATTTGATTCTTAAGTACGCGGCCCAGTACATTACAAACGAATTAGTAGTTAAAGACAACATGGGAGACTACGAAGATAAGATTGACGAGATATCAAGGCTTGAAGAAACGAACGAAAACGAACAAATCGAAAGATACTTCCCGTTATCAATAGAAAACACTGTAAGAGAGAAATTCTGTCTTCCAACATGCGCTGCAACAGCAGAATCAATCGTTGTAATCAGAAACAACCTTTTAAGTATCATCTCAAAATATAAGTACACAGATGAGAACACAGCTGCTATCAAAGCATTCGCTGGTGACTTAGATCAAACTTTGATCAAGGCAATGGTCTTCATTAGGCTCGAAATGAGGTGCAGAGCTTATGCTGAAATTGTTCAGCCTCTTTTGAACGGAAACTATACTCCTTTGACTGCTCCCGTCCGTCCAGAGCAATACGTAACAGATTACGCTTCAACTCTCTCATCTTCCTCAGAAAATATTATTAATTGCCTAACACCAGCCCGTTATTCATTTGTTTTCATCGGACTTGCAAGGCTTGTCTATAATATCCACATTAAATACGTTCCCCGCATCAGAGAGATCTCAGATAAAGGTGCAGCTCAATTGACAATGAATTTGTCCGCTTTGAACCAGTCATTATCAACTTTGCAGTATCCAGAAACAGTTATATACAAGAAAGCTCTTGTTTTCATATCAAATATCTCTTATTCGACAGACAGAATTCTTATGCAGATTGCTCAACAGAAGGATTTGTTCACTTACGAGGAAATGGAACCAGTTTTCAACATGCAGCAGAAGATGAACGAAAGACACGCTGAAAACTTAGAGAAACTCAGACAACTCCTTCAAAAACACTAATTTTTTTTTATTTTTTTTGTTAAGTCATTTCGATAATAAAATTTCATGCTTTTATATGTGATATATATATATAATTTACTGTTTATTGTCATTGCTCAATTTTTTTTCTTGAATATTTGGACCAAGCAAGATAGGAAATTGGACTGTTTCTTTGCACCAAACGAGATAAGGAGCTTAGCTGTTGCTCTGCTTCCATGAATTTTGCTATCTGAAGAGCGGTTAATCCTCTGTCTGTTTTTTCATTGACATTTGCACCATGAGAAAGAAGAAGTTTGGCAAATTTTTTATGATTATAACGTGCTGTTTGATGAAGAGCGGTTTGTCCATCAATATCTTTTTCATTGATATTTATACCATGTGAAATAAGAACTTCGGCTACTTTATAATTATCTTGAAAAGCTGCTTTATGAAGAGCTGTTTGTCCATCAATATCTTTTTCATTGATATTTATACCATGATTCTTTAGTTCACAAAATCAAATTTGTTAAAATTTAATTTCTATCCTCGGGTAGCTACGTTTGCCGATAGAATTCACTGAGAAGTGCAATCGTAAATATTATTTTAGCATGAAGCAAACAAGGTGATCATTGGGTAGACATTTACTGTCACCTATTGGACTAGATTTTCCCAGTAAAGTCTGAGACAATGATATCAAAGTTTGGGCGTGGCGGCCCTTCTATTCACTGAAAAGATTTCGTACGCAATTTTTCGATATGATTTTGTAAAAATATATGGCTATTTGAATTATAATACAAACATACAAACAATATTTTATTGTAAATTTGATAATCGTCCGCATTGAAATTTGATTTTCCAAAATCCTTTCTCTTGTGAGTGGTATTTCTTTGGAAGATTGCTATTATTCTTAGGGATATTTGAAAGGTGTGGAAGGATTGAGTCAGTACTCGTCTTCTTGGTGAATAAAGACTTATGTATTACTTGAATTGGCTGGTAATCATAGTTTTCAAGTAATGTCAATAGATCTGAGCTTGATGATCTCTTCTTTGAGTCAAATACAAGGCACTTAGAAATTAAGGTTCCGAGTACGCCTGTAGGTTCTATAATCAACTCAAGCTTATTAGCTTGGAGCTCACGGATAAGCTGAACATCATTCTTTACATACCATGGGAACTTTCCGGTTGAGAGTACGTGAACTGTCACACCGAATGCCCAAATGTCAGCTTTGATTCCATCGTAAGTATCAGAAATAATTACCTCAGGAGCCATATAAAATGGAGTTCCACAGTATGTATGAAGAGAAGTACCGTTTTCTTTGGCAAGTCCAAAATCGATCAACTTTGGAGTAAAATCATCATCTAATAAGACATTTTCTGGCTTAATATCGCGATGTGAAATATCACGCTTGTGTAAATAATTAATGCCTTGTAAGATGTCAAAAGATATTTTGCATTTCTGCTCATATGTAAAGTTAACTCCATTAGAGAGCATTGATTGAAGATCACCATTCTTGAAATATTCCATAACTACCATGATTATGTCTTCTTCGTAGATAACATCAAGAACCTTACAAACATTAGGATGATCGAAGCGAGTACTAAGACGTAGTTCATTCTCAAGATACTGCATAAGATTGCGTTTAGTCACTTCTTCACGGGAAATAATTTTTATTGCCACTTGTTTTTGGGTTTTTGGATTGACACCTAAAACAACAACGGCGAATCCTCCTTTACCAATGGTACGTACGACCCTGTACTTACCAATCACATCTGGTACTCGGACTCTTACACCATCGCTCAAAGTAGAGATAGAATGCATTATTAAAAATAATATTGATTATCTCGGAACACTTATAAGCTGAATTTTTTGAAAATAACCGACGAAGAATATACTCAAATTCTTAAATTCAAAATACATACTTACAGTCCACTATTGATTAATGGAGTAGAGTAAGATTCACCAAAAATATTTTAAAAATAGTAAATGGCTGGGGAAAATACTAATGAGCTTGATAATGTATGTGTATTAATATTTTAAAGTTTATTCGAAAAAAAACTTCCAACAGATTGAATGGAATTGTAAGAAATTGAAGCGGATTTTTGTGATGGGAAAATTTTGAGAAATATTACAGTAGCAAATAATGATATAAGAAATTGCAAAACGAAAAAAATTGAAACGATTATTTTAATTATTTTTAGAAAAAACATATATCCCATGGTTTATATATCACAATTGTAATAAAAATGTATTTTCGAAATTTTTGGCCACGCAGAAAATCCATTTAAATTTTGGATAAAATTAATATATGAATGATTCTTAGGTGATCATCCGATATAATCTTTTTATACAGCATTCTGAATTTTTGAATTCTTCTCAATTAAATTTTTGAATAGGATTTTACGAAAAAATTGCCATTGATTGCTTTATCGAAATAAAAATATTAAAATAGTACATACAATAATATTTTAATGTTTTTAAGTTCAATATTTCTAATAACTGCTACTAAATAAAAATTGGAATCAGGGGCCCATAACCCGCATATAATATTGACTTTTTAAATTAGCAATATATCTACTTTTGAATATGTGTCAAAATTTAAATAATCTTATCAAACCATTATTTTTTGAGAACATTTATAAAGTTCTCAATTTCGATACTCGAATTATTATTATTGCATGCTATATGCCCAATACAAATAATTTAATTTTCCACTCATACAGATGGCGCATTCAATTTCTAGCAAATAATTGTCATATCGTATAATAATATCATTATCATTAATTCTCAAACTTATTGAACAAAATTAAAAAAAAATCAAAACACATTATATGTTTAATATATGTTTTTATTTAATTTATTATTTTAAATTTGAATTCATCGGATTTTTTTTCTTCTTTTTAATTTGCCTGTTATCCTCCTTTCAATTTATAAGATTATTATTAAGATATATGCGACTATAATATCGATGCAATTTTGATTCTATATTTTACCATTTTTCATATTCTTTTAATTTTAATTGACTTAAAATAATCAAATGGTAACTACATCAATTTGTAACATATCTTGAAAATCTCATTTCAATTACTTAATTGCAATAATTCATCCATTGCTTAATCTGAATCTCTAACATTACATTATTCTTTACGTTTCCATATATCTCATAGTTTTTAAGTAGATTTAAAACCAAAATGACTTAGTAATTCAAAATAATAACATATTGTATCAAAATTCAAAATTTTTCCCATGCGAACGAATTTCATGAGCTTCCAAAATAGAAAAAGTATACAATTAAAGATATACACGAAATGATTTAATTAAGTGTAAGGATTTGGAGACGGACTTGGTTGTCCAGGTTGGACGATTATATAAACAGGTGGAGGTGGCGAATTAGGATTCAATGGAGTTTCCAAAGATGGAGTTTTAGCTGGAGCTGGCTTCTCAGCTTTTGGAATAGGAGCTGAATCATCTCTATCATATTTCGCATAAATTTGTTCTTGAGCAGCATCATTTTCATTAGAATAAACTACTTCAGAATAGGATACATCTGTATTACTCCTCCTCCTTCTTCTTCTGATGCATACGACTATGAAAATAGCAACAGCAGCAATAACAATGATAGTAGCAAAAACAATTCCAACAATAGCTCCAGCTGATATTTCAGATTTTGGATAGTTGTAGTAATCATCAGGTGGATAATATTTGTTTCCATATGTATAAACGTCCTGAATATAATAACTATAAAAATGAGCCTTGTTGAGATCTGTGTAAGAGAGAGCGCCACGGAACAAACCACTGATTTCATTAGTTTCTGGCTCATTTGTTGTCACTGTTCCGAATTCAGAATATCTGTATTCATGTTCTTCTGAATTATTTCCATACCATCTATAGGGTGTCCAAAGGTGCGTTTAGCACAGCGCTCTATATGAGACTATTAAAGGAGATATATGCTGATTATAAATATATAATAAAAAATATGAATATATGTATATGATGAGTATGTTGTATTTTGGCGCCATGCCGGGATATAAAATGAATTTTGAGACAAGAGGCGGTTTCGCGGGAAATTTTGGCGGGATTTTTTTCATTTTTTTAATGAATCATAAAGAAAACATCCTCGCTCTTGCAAAAAAATGCAAAGACTGTAAAAAAATCTACGAGACATTGGTAAAATGCTTCGGTATGGATGCTCCTAGCTATTCCACTGTAACGTATCATGTTAGGATGTATCACTTCATGAACAAAAAGGCGCCCATCATAAAAATTGACAAAAAATCGCCGGATCAAAGAAAAATCAAAGCAATTCTTCAAGCGCTAGATGAAGACCCAAGAGCATCACTCAGAAGGATAGAGGAGATGACAAAGATACCACGTACAACAGTCAGTTATTATCTGCACAATTATTTGAACTACAAACTAGCGTATACACGTTGGGTTCCGCACAACCTTAATTCAGTTCAAAAAAAATCTAGAGTCCAATCTTCGAAAGAGCTCCTCTCTATATTGGGTGCGTATCAATCCAAGAAGTTTCGCTTTTAGTAACAGGGGACGAGTCTTGGTTTCAATATGCAACAGAAGCCAAAATCATGTGGATCCCGAAGGATGAAAATCCGCAAACATTCCCGAAGAAAAAAATTGACACACCAATGATGATGTTGTCGGTTTTTTGGGGCGTGAATGGCATCATCGCAATTAATATTCTTCAAAAACCTAATACGATGAATGCTCAGTATCTAATTGACAATGTTCCTACTCAAATTATCAATTCTGATGAGTTTGAGAAATCCAAACAACAAAAACAAAAGTTTGCAATTCATTTTGATAATTCAAGAGTTCACAAAAGTCATAAGGTAATGAATTACTTGGTGGAAAACAATGTCAAAGTTGTTCCAAACCCAATTTATTCACCTGATATTGCACCCTCTGACTTTTATTTATTCGGCACGCTAAAAAAGAGAGCTGAAGGACGCGAATTCGCGAGTCCAGATGATCTTGAAAATTTTGTAAGAGAGCAATTTGAGCAATTTTCTCATGATGATTTAAAGCGTGTCTTTCAAGCCTGGATCGATCGCTGCGAACGCGTGATTGAATCCAATGGTGATTATATTTAAATAAACTTTATATATATGTAACTTGTTTATTTCTATTCGCAGTATTCAGGTTTGTGCTAAACACACCTTTGGACACCCTATATATTCTGAGTGATTATACAATTTTCTTGCTTCTTTTGTATAGTAGAATGCTGATGATGCAAAGACATTAAATTTAACTACTTGGTGTTTGTCATAAGTTAAATTAGTTTCTTCATAAGTTGATTTAGTAACTATGAAGGGTATTGGGTGATTAGGAGAAACAACAATAACATCAGCAGTTGTTGCTGGGTTCTGATATGTGTAGTCATAGAATAAAACTGAAATATTTCCAATTAAACTTTGATTTTTCGCTGGAATGATTTCAAAATGAGTAACCTTATCAGTGAAATTGAAAACATAGTTCCCTGTGTAGTGTAAAACAGGATCATTGTCAAGAAATGCTTTAAATGAATAAGCATTATGAAATACGACAATGGAATTTATCTGGAATTTGAGTTTTGTACCTCCGGCAGGGATATTTATTTGATATGTACCACTAAAGTAGTTGACATTGTCTGGTCCGTCAGGTAATTTGAAGGATTCTGTTGGTTTAGGGTTTCTTTGGATCTTTCCATAGATTTTCAGGATTTCTGCATCTCTGCAATCTGGAATATCATGGTATGGTGTGACAATGTTTGTTTGTTCAAGACCTGATTTAAGATTTACGTCACTATCAACAGTTAGGTAATAAACAACTGATTTATTAATGTATGGATAGCCTGTGCCATCTGATATTGAAATATCATAGGTTGAATTAGGAGTTGTAATGAAGAACTTAATATATCTTCCAGAAGTTACAAATTTGTAACGACGAGGAACTGGGTAAGTGAATACATGGCAGAAGGTGGAGTCTTTGGCCATTGTATAGTCTGTATCGAACACTCCGAAAATTGTTGAAGTTTCATTGCGGACAATTTCAACGTTGAGCTCTGTGCATGGTACATATGAGTTGATAACAGAAACACTACCAACGATTGTGTTGTTTCCTGGCTTTTTGGCCTTAATTGAATATCTTGAATCTTTGTCAAAGAAAACACCATCTGCAATAGGTTCTTTATCAGATTCGAATGTGTAACCTTTAATAGTATGAGCAACAAATACAGAATTTGGAGGAATGTGAAATTCATATTCATCTTTAAATGAAATTTCGAAATCGCCAACAGTAAAAACACTTCTGTCTATCATAGTCATTTGGACCAATCTAATTCTAAGTTCTTGAATCATGAGTGTGGCTGTTGAAGCGTTAATTGGTTCATAGTAATATCTCAGTGCTGGACTTTCACCAGTTCCATAAGTTAAGCGATTACCAGTGGTGTTGGAAGTTACTTGTAATGATATATTATCGAAATTCGGATTCATGAAAATGTAACAAATTGGTTCTGCATAATAACCAATTGTTTCATTTGTCATCATGAAACCATCTAAGACAAACTGGCTCTTTTTGCATTCTTTGTATATAGGAGCTGCAATAATTGAAATGTTTTTAGTTTTTGTTTCTTGTGAAGGTGTTATAATCAAATGCGAATAACTAGTTAAAATAATTGGGAAATCAGTATATATAGGGTGTCCAAAGGTGTGTTTAGCACAAACCTGAATACTGCGAATAGAAATAAACAAGTTACATATATATAAAGTTTATTTAAATATAATCACCATTGGATTCAATCACGCGTTCGCAGCGATCGATCCAGGCTTGAAAGACACGCTTTAAATCATCATGAGAAAATTGCTCAAATTGCTCTCTTACAAAATTTTCAAGATCATCTGGACTCGCGAATTCGCGTCCTTCAGCTCTCTTTTTTAGCGTGCCGAATAAATAAAAGTCAGAGGGTGCAATATCAGGTGAATAAATTGGGTTTGGAACAACTTTGACATTGTTTTCCACCAAGTAATTCATTACCTTATGACTTTTGTGAACTCTTGAATTATCAAAATGAATTGCAAACTTTTGTTTTTGTTGTTTGGATTTCTCAAACTCATCAGAATTGATAATTTGAGTAGGAACATTGTCAATTAGATACTGAGCATTCATCGTATTAGGTTTTTGAAGAATATTAATTGCGATGATGCCATTCACGCCCCAAAAAACCGACAACATCATCATTGGTGTGTCAATTTTTTTCTTCGGGAATGTTTGCGGATTTTCATCCTTCGGGATCCACATGATTTTGGCTTCTGTTGCATATTGAAACCAAGACTCGTCCCCTGTTACTAAAAAGCGAAACTTCTTGGATTGATACGCACCCAATATAGAGAGGAGCTCTTTCGAAGATTGGACTCTAGATTTTTTTGAACTGAATTAAGGTTGTGCGGAACCCAACGTGTATACGCTAGTTTGTAGTTCAAATAATTGTGCAGATAATAACTGACTGTTGTACGTGGTATCTTTGTCATCTCCTCTATCCTTCTGAGTGATGCTCTTGGGTCTTCATCTAGCGCTTGAAGAATTGCTTTGATTTTTCTTTGATCCGGCGATTTTTTGTCAATTTTTATGATGGGCGCCTTTTTGTTCATGAAGTGATACATCCTAACATGATACGTTACAGTGGAATAGCTAGGAGCATCCATACCGAAGCATTTTACCAATGTCTCGTAGATTTTTTTACAGTCTTTGCATTTTTTTGCAAGAGCGAGGATGTTTTCTTTATGATTCATTAAAAAAATGAAAAAAATCCCGCCAAAATTTCCCGCGAAACCGCCTCTTGTCTCAAAATTCATTTTATATCCCGGCATGGCGCCAAAATACAACATACTCATCATATACATATATTCATATTTTTTATTATATATTTATAATCAGCATATATCTCCTTTAATAGTCTCATATAGAGCGTTGTGCTAAACGCACCTTTGGACACCCTATATATTGTTATCTGAGTCTTCAAATGTGAATCCTTCAGTTTCATTCGGAAGAATTCCGACGGAAAAAGCTTTTGGAACATCAAATGTTGTTTTTCCATAAATAAGGTAATCATTGCGTCCCAAATCGATGTAAATAAAGGGAAGAAGATTGAGAAACATTTTTGAAAAATGAACCTATTGTTGTCAGAATTTAGATCAAAAAAACCCTTTGAAATTTTTAATGAGGTAATTGAACATATCGAAATCACTCAGTCTTCGGATCAATACAAATTGAAAAGACATTTTAATTTTCAATAAAAAAGGTTCACCGGAACAGTTTTCGGCTTTGTAAACTTCACAATTTTTACCTTAAACAATATCATTACCGAAAAAACTTCCACAATAATACGTATATTGATATATAAAAATTCAACTTACCATCTTCCACCTTTCAAATTCTCCATCAGTGAGGAAAGTAGTATATATGACGGGTTGTGTGACTTTTTTTGTAAACGTAAGAATTCATACAATATAGAACGATTTTGTATCATTTTTTTTAACATATGAAGTAATAAATGTATGATTCTTACGGTTTTTATTCTTACGTTTTTGAATAAATCAAGATTTAAAAAATTTTCAAAATTGTAAGACATTTACACTCAGCCCAAACATAATGAAATAAAAGAAGTTATATATAGATGATGTCAGATATTCCACGATTAATTAAACAATGTTTAAATCCTGAATGGAATCAATGAAACCGTAAATGAGTAAAATAAATGAGAAAAATTCATGTCTTGCATTTTTGAATAATTTATTTTTTATTATGTATGAAATGAGCGTCAAAACTAACAATGTTAAAAATTTAGGATTCACAAACGAGGAAATAAAGGGTATATTAGAGGAGGCGGGTTATGAAGTTAATAAATATTATTTAAGAAATTGTAAAAAATTTGCCGAGTTTTTAAATGAATTTGGTTATGATGGAAAAATGAATAAAGATGATGTTATAAATTTCTTATATCCCACATCTAAAAAAGAAGAAAAACCTAAAGAACCTGATGTTTTCCCTGAATATTATGAAGAACGGATTAAAGATGATGAATATAATGAAATTGAAAGACTGGAAAAAATAAGAGATGAAATAGATGAAAAAATTAAGGAATTAAGAGAAGTTGAAAAATATAATGAAAATGAAGTAGAGGGTTTAATGAATATCCCAGCTTCAGAAGTACAGAAATCTCATGAAGAAAGATATAAAAATTATGTCTCAGAATCAACACAAAATTTATTAGATGGTGAAATAGATGAAACACTTTCAGAAGAAGGTATTAAATTTATTCGTAAACATAAGTTACAATTTATTGATAATGAAAAATACCCTTGTATCTTACTTTCACCCCCTCTCGATTCTGAGAAATTCAAAAAAGCTCTTAAAAACGTGACATATGCAACTAATACGATTAAGAAAGAAGATCATGATATTTACACAAATTATTATTTAAATAAATGCACAGGTGTTGATAAAGTTTTTGATTTATTAGATAAAATATCAAAAGAAACCATTGGAACCTATAAATTTTTGTGTGATTGTGGTTTCATTATTGAAGATACCAATAATGTTTCATATGAAAGAACAGCACCGAAGGAAGACGAAGTTGAAAGGTCTATACCATTCGTTATTAAGAACATAAAAGATATAAAAACTTATAAGCATTATATTTATTCATTTATTTCAGAAAAAATGGAAGCAACCCATAAAACATCTTCTCATCATTTTATAGCTATTCATACATTCCTTTTCAAAGTTGTGAAATTAAATAAGACAGGAATTAGATTTAATGTATCAGGGTACGCATTCTTGAGTAAATTAAAATGTATTCGTCACGTCGCGGATGATAAAAATTTATGTATTCTTAATTCATTTTATGGGCTTTAAAAAATAAACTTTATTTTTTAATTTTTTATTCTTACATAAATGAACAAAAACGGAACAGCTAAAATGAATGATAATCAAATTAGAGCAGAAGGTAGAAGGTTATTTAAACGCTTCTATAACATTCCTGATGGTGTTAATCCTAAAACTCGTAGAAGCTATTTAAATGAAGCAATAGATGCATATGAAGGGTTTGACATTTCATCAGAAAGTGAGAGATTAGCGAGAATGTTAAATGTTAATATTGATTTCTATTATTGTGATCCTCAACCAGAAGACGTGGACATAAATAAGGTAGACTTTCCATTAGTGGATTCAATAATGATAGATCCAGAATTTGAAACAGTAAATATTTTATTAACACAGAGTCCATGTGGAAAACTTCACGCTGACAGAATAACAGACGTTGAAGCACTCACCGGCTATAAAGTTTGTCCATATTGTAAAGAAGAAGTTTATTCTATCCGTGATGATCCAGAAAGGAAAAACCAAAGAAGATTTTTAAAGCATTGTGAGAAATGTAAAGAAAATAATGGAATATTAATTCAAGACGTTCAATTGCAAAAAACCCAGCAACCATATGCACCACATATTACGAAATAAAAGATATATCAGTGGTTATTAGCTCATAATTTGCAGGAATATTATAAACCGACAAGATATTATATTACTTTTGATTTCGAAACATTAGAGACTAAAGAAGAATTACAACTTTCTGAGTGTGCAACTTTGAACGCTTACTTAAAACCATTCATGGTATCATCAACAGTTAAATTAAATGATAAAACATATACGAGGAATTTTTGCTTAACTTCAAGTGATTCTTTTATTTCTGATTGGATTGAGTTTTTATTTTCAACCTGTTCATTAGTTGCTAAATCAAATATTGAACAATATGAAGAATTATTGAAGTCGCAAACGGTGGGGACTTTGTCTCATACATTAAATGAAAAACAGAAGGAAGCATTTAAAGAACTTCTAGATGAGGAATTCAATAAAGTGAATATCATAGGTTTTAATTCGGGAAAGTTTGATTTAAATTTAATTCTTCGTGATTTAAACACTGCAAAATGGAAAATAAAATCAATGTTGGGTTCATCTTCACAATTTAAGCAAATCATTGTAAAGAAAACAAACGTTCCATATGAATTGAGATTTATTGACATCAGAAATTATATAGCGGGTGGGACATTAGATCAATTCACTCAAGATTTCGGAAACAATAAATCACGTGTTAAATCCTTTTTCCCTTATCAATTCATCACATGGGAGAATTACGAAGAAGAATTATATAAAGAGGAACCATTCACGAAAGATTCATTTTATTCAGCATTAACTCAAGAAACTATATCAGATAGTGATTATAATAATATCTCAATGATGCTAAAAATTTTAAGAATAGATTAGAATATTTATTCATTATTGCAATAAAGATGTTGAAATTATGATTGACCCAATTGATAAAATTATTGAAGAAACATTTGTTTATAAAATTGACACGCTTCATAATCTTTCTTTATCATCGAATGCTTCAATGATTCGTTACGCTTTAGCATATAAAGACTTTAATCCTAATGAAAAATATCCTGAGGAAGAGATAGAATCGAGTTTTGAATTAACGAAAAAGTATTGGAAATATAAAATTGAATCATATAAGAAACAAGATGAAAAAGCAAAAAGGGATACTAAAAATAATGTTTCAATGGATGATTTTCAATACTATCACGATTTAATCCTTTCATCTAAATGCAAAATGTGTGGTAAAGCGTTTACATATGCAAATAAACCAACATTGGATAGAATCGATAATGAAAAACCACATACCAAAGAAAATTGTCAGTTAATGTGTTGTTATTGCAATGTCGTAAAATCAAATAAAGATGAAGATGTTCAACGTTTAAGAATCAATTTAAGAAATTATGCATTAAAAAATAATTTACCAATGACTTTAGATTCAGTTGAAGCTTATCACATTCTCCGTAATGGAATTACTGGTGGTTTATCAAATGTTCAACATAGAGTAAATCTTAAAGGAATCACACGCATTAATAAACTTTCATATAGTCCAGAAACTAAAACTGTATCAAATGAGGACACCACCAACATTATGACTCATTTCGTTGGTGTTGATTTTAATTCATTATATCCTTCATCATTTTCATCTAATCCTCATGATTTCATTCAATATACTGACCATAAAATGTATATGCCGGGAAGATTGAATGGTGTTATCATTTGTGATACAGCAACAAAGAAAGCAAAAGCATTAGGAATAATTAGAAAGAAAAATACTTTATTCGTGGCTGAAGTAAAGGGTCACATTGATGAAAAATACATTAATGATTACATAAACTTTTTACCAATAATAAGAAACTTAGATATTATCACAGATGAAAAAACAATTGGCAGTTTTATGTATAATTACATGAAATCAAACAATCTACCAGTTGACCAGAAACAGAGAAAATTAACTCAGTTAGCATCAACACACAACCAATATCAACCATTTTCTTCTTATTATCTTTGGTATCTAATCGACAGATTTCATTTTATCATTGATGATATTCAATCAATTTTAACATTTACGAAAAACACATGTTTTAATGAATTTGCGAACGAATTTATGAACGAAAGACAAAAGGCTGAATTAGAAGAAAATAAAGGAAAAAGTTTATTTTGCAAGATTTCACTTAATGGATCATATGGTTACGATGCAATGAATACACAAAATTACACAAAGACTAAAATAATGAATGCACAGAAGGCACGCGTTGCATGTATGGCAAATAAGTTTAAAAACATAAGAGAAATAGGTGAAGATACATATCAAATGATGCTCAAAGATAGATTTTATAGATGTGAAACATGTTTACAAGAGGCATTCTTCACTTTAGATAATGCTAAATACTGGTATTTGGTTTTCATTTATGATTTTATGTATAAATGCATGGATGTTAATCGTTTTCATTTCATTGAAGGTGATACTGATTCATCTTATTGGGCAATCGCTGGCAATCCAAATCTTTCTAACACTCAAGCATTTCAGGCGATTGTTACCGATAAACAATTTTATGATAAAAACATTTTCAAATTCGCACCTTTTGATTTCTTCTGTTTTGATGAGAAATTTAAACCTAAATTAAAGAATAAAGATGAAGAAAAAGCACATGAGAAGAAGTTATTGGGTTTAGCAATTGAGAAACAAGGGGATAACATGGTTGCTTTATGCCCCAAGTGTTATACATCATTCAACGGTTCAATTGATGGAAGTGATTTTAAAAAGATTGCATAAAAAATGAAAGGTGTTAGTTTACGACAAAATAAACAATTAACACCTAAAAATTATTTGGATATAATAAATGATAAAGTGATATTTGATGGTCAGAATATTAATTTACAACTTAAAAACGGGTCAATGACTCGCTTAACAATCGGTAAGACTGCATTAACAGGAGCACACACTAAGGCTGTATGTTGTGAAAATGGATGTTGTATGCCATTTATTTAATACAATTTTAAATTGTATTTTTAATGAAATACCACAGAAGAGACAAAAGGAACTGTCGAATGATGTGATTCAATATGTAAATAATGGTTTTGATACTATGCACCCTTAAAACACTTATTTTATTTTTATATAAATGAATACCATAGAGTTAAAAAATTAATTGATGATTTAGTATTTAATCAAAATTTTCTTACTTATTATGATTTAAAAGCATATCTCCAAAAATATGATGAAAATATAACGGGTGATGATATGGATTATTATTATCCGTATTATGAAAATGAATTTTTGAAATATCATGATAAAATAATTTCTAAAATTAAAGACAAAATTAAAAATAATGAATATGTAAAGGGAAAAACTAAATCACAACTTAAACAATTGAAAGATTTCAAAAATAAAGTATTAACAGAAGAAGATATTGATGAATTATATAATTTATATAATCCTGAGCCGCAAAAATCAAGGGAACAAAAACAAAAGGTGCAAAACACCCAGGTCCTTCAGATCATAAATGAAGCACAAGCTTTAATTTATGATTCATTAGTTAAACCATGTTCAACCCAAGTTTTAAATGAAGATCAACTTTTGGAATTCATCCTTCAACATAAACTCGAAGCGGGAAAGTATATCAAACCTTTATATACAGCATATTTAAAACAAATGAATAAAATACATCCGGAATTAATGAAGGGAGGAATGAAATCCAAAACTTCATCATCCAAAATCAAAGCAGATAAAATTAAATCACTTGCAATACCAAAACCTCCTTCAGTTAATCCTTCATCATTCACTTTATTATATCCATTTCAAACATTAAAGAAGCAAAAAGATTTTAAAAGGGATTTCAAGATATTAAATAAACCAACTGACCCAAAAATTCAACCGTTAAAGGAAAAATTTGGTCGCCCTTCATTTGCACCATATCCATATTCATACGAAATCGATCATTTAGAATATTCAAAAGGAAATGTTACTTATTTATTTGCCATTAACATTAACACCAGATATTTATATTGCATTCCGGTGAAAGGGAAAACAGAACAGGAAACAAGAAGAGCTATTCAATACTTACTAGATCATGAAAGGGTAGATAATATAAGGGGTGATGGTGATAAAGGATTTCAGGCAGCTATGGCTCATTATTTCCCACAAATTAATTTTTACTTTTCATCCTCTCCATATACGTTTCATAATAAAATAGTTGATGCGGTAATGAGAACTCTTAGAGATGCGTTAGGGGTTAACGGTCAGATATACTGGGATGGAAATCATGACTCCATCATACAGCAGTTAGTATATTATTACAATAATACATGGCATAGAACTATAAACATGAAACCAGTGGAAATGAAAAATGATATTTCAAAAGAATGGGAATATACTAGAAAGCAAATGGAAAGGTTAAATGATGTTAAACGTGAACAAATTAATTCGGGGCTCATGAATTTTAAACAAGGGAATAAAGTTTTGATTCATCTCGATTATGGAAAAACTGATAAATCAATGACAAAAAGAAGACGAAGATTTGATACAATAGCTGAATTTGTTAGATACATTAACGGTAATGTATTAGTTGAAGTTGACAATAAATTAATAGAAATTCCGATTTATTTTATTACTCCATTATATTTAAATAATATTTAATTTTTTTATTTCGTAAAAAATGAGTGACAATGAAGCAGCCATCTTATATACGAAAAAAGGAGATTTGACAGAATGTCAAATCTCCTCAAAAAGTGACAGTTTACATGGCAAACAATTGCGAGCAATTTTTAGCCATTTTGGCTGAGAACTAGGGTCTGCCAGGTACATAGATAGAATCAGTACCTCGCAGACTCTAGTTCTCTATATGGCGCCGAGAAATTTTGGTGAAATGCGACGACATTTCACCAAAATTTTCTCGACGCCATAGGATGAATTGGAGGGTGTGAGATACTATTACATATAATAGTACTCCCACCCTCCAAAACCTCGAAAATCTCAAAATTTCCTGCAATTATCATCAACTTTGCATAGCACAATCGGCCAAAAATTCATTCAATTGTCCTCCTTCTCAATATTTCTTAACTCTTTCGATTTCTTTCAAAATATCTTTCAATAATCTTTCAATGATAAATATTATACAAAAACGATTAGTATGAAACTTTTTTGCATTTTAAAAATATTTTATATTTCTGTTTTTATTTCAATTTTTATATTTTATTTTCCTTTTTTTAGATGAAACTTATTTGTTTACCAATATTCCTTATTTTATAAAATTTTTCAATTGAATACTACAATAATTTTATCTCTCCTTTATTAAATTTTCGATTTTTATGTTAATTCTAATTCTTTGCACTATTTCTTGTCTAAATCTTCTAAAATTTTTATTTTAATTTAATTTGACACATAATCATCCTTTTAATTTTCGATTCAAATCCTTATCCTCTTCATTATTTTTCAATAATTTTTTTAATCGTAATTTGTAAAATTCGTTCTTTTATAGCTGTTTAAATAATCCAAAACCATGATATTTATTATTGTTAATTATTCCTAATCATGTTTTTTCCATTAATTTTAATTTTTTATTTTCTGAACCATTTAAATTAATTTTGTTAAGAATATTTTTTCAATATAGACTTCTGAAATAATTAAATTATTCTCAAATTCTCACAAATTATTTCATTTCAAATTTGTTTAAAATGAATTTGTACACCTTAGTTGATTCAGCTTGGCTTGAAACAGCTCTAGCACAGATTCAAAGGCGCACACCGTTAGCCATTGTTCTCACAAATGTTCCATTAGTCAACAACACTATTCGTTCATCAATTAACAAGATAACATTTTACAAAGCTCTCTTATGTAATAGACTAATTACTATTGAAGAGTACTTACATCATACATACAAACTTCAAGAGTTTACTACTTTCTACAATAAATATAATAATCGACTCTACGAGTGTTCATCCATTTTGAAACACAGAGATGACACTCTCCTTACCGATTATTTGATATTACAAAGTTCAAACGACTCTCGTATACAGAAAGAACCCTCATCAGCCAGCACTCCTCTACAACGCCAGCTTTCATCAGCCAGCACTACCAACTCTGTTCCACAGCAACAGCTCTCAACAGCCAATGCTCCTCTACAAAGCCCACTTTCTGCCAACACCCCGCCACAACGCCAGCTCTCTGCCAACGCTCCTCTTCAACGCCAGCTTTCATTAGCCAGCAGTACCAACACTCCCCCACAGCCACAACTCTCTGCCAGCACTCCCCACAACGCCAGCTCTCGGCCAACTCTCTTCCACAGCAACAACTCTCTGCCAGCACTCCCCACAACGCCAGCTCTCGGCCAACTCTCTTCCACAGCAACAACTCTCTGCCAACACCCAGACACAACGCCAGCTCTCGGCCAACTCTCTTCCACAGCAACAACTCTCTGCCAACACCCAGACACAACGCCAGCTCTCGGCCAACACTCCCCCACAGCAACAACTCTCTGCCAACACCCAGACACAACGCCAGCTCTCTGCCAACACTCCCCCACAGCAACAACTCTCTGCCAACACCCAGACACAACGCCAGCTCTCGGCCAACTCTCTTCCACAGCAACAACTCTCTGCCAACACCCAGACACAACGCCAGCTCTCTGCCAACACTCCCCCACAGCAACAGCTCTCTGCCAATACTCAGCCTCAGCCTCACCCATCTGTGTCTATTCCCCTTAAGCGCGGGAGACCCAAAGTTAATGTACCAAAAGATCTTAAGGTAACTATTAGAAACCTAATTGAGCAGCATGGCCATCTTGGAATAATCTCCGCCTATAACCAAATAAATAAAGATATTGAATATGCCAAATCTCATTTTGAGGCATTTTTGGACATGAAGACGGGTATTGTTCCACAGCCAACGCCTACCCAAGCATGGTTCTCCGCTATTGAACGTTTTAAGCCCCTGAATCAAATTTCTTCCACAATTCCTTCCGGACTTATGATTGAAGAGTCTCCATTATCATTTCCATCTGAGCTGAGGAACATTAAATATCTTATAAACCCTCTTCTACATCCCCCCTCAAGACATATGGTAGAAAGAGCTTTTAGAGAGCTAGGCTTGGCACGTCCAAGGGGACCCTATCGGCCAAAAGGAAAGACAAGATACTTAGCTGCCTTTCCTAACCAAATATGGCACGTTGATATCCACTTTCTTGGCAAAAAGAGAAGTCAGATTCTTTATGCTGTGATTGATGACTGCACAAGGCTCATCATAGAATGGCACCATCTTTCGTCAAAACATGCTAGCCAAACAGTGAAAGTAATTAAGAGAGCAATAGCCCGTTATGGACCACCACATACAATTTGGTCCGATAATGGCGGCGAGAATAAAGGCGAGTTCCTAAAGGCTATGAGGGTTCGGGGGATCAATAATGTATATATTGTCCCCCATTGCCCATACCAAAATGGGAAAATCGAGCGCTTGTGGCCTAACATAGAGAGCAGAGAGTTGTCATGGGCAAAGATTCAACAATGGGTTGAGTACTATAATGCTAAACCTCATCTAGCATTACCAACTCATTATGTGAATGGAAAACAAATTCACTATAGCCCATCTGAAATGGGGAAGAAACTTCCAATTTGGAAGAGGGGAATGCCGGCAAAATGGATTGTGGATGGAGTCTCTCAAGATTTTCTTCCAGGTTCACTTGTGGCCAATGAGATGCCAGAGCTCCAAGGAATCGAAGAAGATGAATGGGAAAAAGAAGGCGAGGAAGTTGAAGAAGAAGAAAATAAGGCGAATCAGGTTGAAATAGAAGAAGATAGTAATGAAGAAGAAGAATACGAAGTAAATTATGAAGAAGAATATCAAGAAAATTATGATGATTCATTTTAATATTACGAATAAAATGTCACTTTTTCTATTTTTGACACGTAAAGTTATCACCTTTCTGTCAAGCCGTTTTTATCGTTTTCGTATATAACAGCCAAGAGTCTAGATGATGAATATAAAAAGAAACTAAACAAAATTAAATCAAAAATATGCTATAGGGTGTCCAAAGGTGTGTTTAGCACAAACCTGAATACTGCGAATAGAAATAAACAAGTTACATATATATAAAGTTTATTTAAATATAATCACCATTGGATTCAATCACGCGTTCGCAGCGATCGATCCAGGCTTGAAAAACACGCTTTAAATCATCATGAGAAAATTGCTCAAATTGCTCTCTTACAAAATTTTCAAGATCATCTGGACTCGCGAATTCGCGTCCTTCAGCTCTCTTTTTTAGCGTGCCGAATAAATAAAAGTCAGAGGGTGCAATATCAGGTGAATAAATTGGGTTTGGAACAACTTTGACATTGTTTTCCAACAAGTAATTCATTACCTTATGACTTTTGTGAACTCTTGAATTATCAAAATGAATTGCAAACTTTTGTTTTTGTTGTTTGGATTTCTCAAACTCATCAGAATTGATAATTTGAGTAAGAACATTGTCAATTAGATACTGAGCATTCATCGTATTAGGTTTTTGAAGAATATCAATTGCGATGATGCCATTCACGCCCCAAAAAACCGACAACATCATCATTGGTGTGTCAATTTTTTTCTTCGGGAATGTTTGCGGATTTTCATCCTTCGGGATCCACATGATTTTGGCTTCTGTTGCATATTGAAACCAAGACTCGTCCCCTGTTACTAAAAAGCGAAACTTCTTGGATTGATACGCACCCAATATAGAGAGGAGCTCTTTCGAAGATTGGACTCTAGATTTTTTTTGAACTGAATTAAGGTTGTGCGGAACCCAACGTGTATACGCTAGTTTGTAGTTCAAATAATTGTGCAGATAATAACTGACTGTTGTACGTGGTATCTTTGTCATCTCCTCTATCCTTCTGAGTGATGCTCTTGGGTCTTCATCTAGCGCTTGAAGAATTGCTTTGATTTTTCTTTGATCCGGCGATTTTTTGTCAATTTTTATGATGGGCGCCTTTTTGTTCATGAAGTGATACATCCTAACATGATACGTTACAGTGGAATAGCTAGGAGCATCCATACCGAAGCATTTTACCAATGTCTCGTAGATTTTTTTACAGTCTTTGCATTTTTTTGCAAGAGCGAGGATGTTTTCTTTATGATTCATTAAAAAAATGAAAAAAATCCCGCCAAAATTTCCCGCGAAACCGCCTCTTGTCTCAAAATTCATTTTATATCCCGGCATGGCGCCAAAATACAACATACTCATCATATACATATATTCATATTTTTTATTATATATTTATAATCAGCATATATCTCCTTTAATAGTCTCATATAGAGCGCTGTGCTAAACGCACCTTTGGACACCCTATATTACAAAAAGAAGCCGCAATGTGGTGGGGCTGAAAACGATAAAGAGAGGAAAGAAATAATCGAAAAATTAGAAACTTACCGTTCAATCCTTAAACTGAGTGAAGCAAAAATAAAAGAATTTAATAGAATAAATAAATTGATTGGAAGAGATGAATTTAATAAAGATGAATTTTTAAACTCAATCCAAATTTAATTTTTTCAGTGCTACCATGTTACCATGTGCTACCAGGTTATTTAACTTCTCTGAAAAATGATGACAACATGACATTTTGACAACATAGTGGGATTAATGAGGAAGGCATTTATGAATTATTTTTGAAGAACTGAAGGTGCTACCATGTTACCATGTGCTACCAGGTTATTTAACTTCTCTGAAAAATGATGACAACATGACATTTTGACAACATCACTGGAAATATGATGCAGTCTAAAAATAAAGTTAGTTTTAAAATTATATTTATTTTTTTATTCCTATATAAATGACAACAACAAACGACAACAGCAACTATATCGTTTCTGATGAAAAAGTTATTGATTCATTAGTTGAGGAATTAGTTGTGGCAGAAACTAAAACCCTCAACGAAAGAATTGGTGAAAACACGATTGATTTACATAACTACCTCAAACATGATGGAGGAAGAGGAAGGAAAACCGGTATGGCTTTATTAGTAAATAAAATATCAAATTTAACGATTATAGATGTTGATATCAATAAATCGTACAATGATGAACTTAAAGAAACAGTTAGAAAAGACATTTTATCAAAACTTTCGGATAAAGATGTTATCGTTAAAACCGCTTCAGGAGGTCTTCACATTTATTGCAACACTAATTTCTTCTATGCAGTTTCGAACAGAATGATTAAATGCTATTCCTGCAATGATTATGATATTGATATCATGACTTCTATTGATGATTCAAAACGTTCTTTAGTAGTTATGGCTGATTCAAGAGTTCGCAAGAATGCAACAGAACCAATCAATACATACTCATTCATTCGTGGAAGTTATGACTCAACATTAACCAGAACAGTGAATGATATATTAAATGATTTGAATATTAAGGTAAAAGTTGAACAGAAGAACGATGCCGCTTTTAAATGATTTGATGATTTGTAACCAACGAATAAACGCATACATTTAAAAGCGGCATCACATGTGAAAGCTTTATTTGAAACTAGAGTTGCTTTAACTTTGCGTTTAATATATGTGTCACCTAATTGATTCACATCATGAGCTGGATTTGTAATTCTTAAATGAGTTTGTTTATCATCAAAATATGGAGCATCAGAGTCATAGCATGAACTTTCAAGTTCTCTATAATATCTTCTACTGTCATTCTTCGCGAATATTTCATTTATCTTTTCGAATGAATGAAACACATTTCCATTAATCGGTTTGGTGTTTGGCACTAAATAGTTAGTCGTCATTTATTAATAAATAAAAAAATCAAAATTAAAAGATGGAAATGAATTTTTAATTTTAATGAAATAATCAACTATGGCTGCAGGTATATTTAAGAAACTGTGGGATAGAGTAAAAAGAGGAGCGAGTAAAGTTTGGGAAACATTGAAGAAGGGGGCAAATTGGATATTTAAGAATAAAGAAGCAATTAGTGACGTTGCTGAATCAATAACGCCAAAAGCTGCCCCAATAAGAGAAATTTTAAATAAAGGAGAAAAAGTTTATCAAAGACTACAACCGATACTAAGATAAAAATAATATTTATTTTTCCACTATCTACCACCTATTTTATTAAGTATTCCTTCAGCAATTCCACCAATTGCGTTACCTGCTTGTGCTCCCATCGCCGGATTACCTGCTTTAGTACCTAATACTCCACCTATGATAGTTCCTGCCGTTTTCGCTACTGGTGCCAAAAAGTTTGCAACGGGTTTAATAACCTTTTTATAAACCCAACCTGCAGCTTTCTTAATTCCATCCCATAATTTTTTAAAGAATCCTGCCGCCATTTCTGATTTAATATTAATTAAAAAATATATTTCATCACTTATATTCTAATTTTTATTTAATGATAAATGAAACCAATGTTAAAAATAAATGAAACAGAGGAAGAAATAAGTGAAAATGTTCAACAAAAAATAAACGTTGTTAAACCAATTACTGAAATAAAAATTTTTTCATCTGTTGAAGAATTTAATGACTATTATACCAATAATAAAAAATTATTTGAAGAATTGACAACATGTAAATTGAATAAAATGTTTAAAGTTGATGGATTCAAAATTTCAAAAATAAAGGGGGTGGTTAGTTTGAAATCTATTCTCCAATCAAGAATCACCTCATTAATGAAAATAGATGATTTAACAAAAAGAATAGAAGAGATTGAAGAAAGAATGAATCAAATAATTGATTTCATAAATTCAAATAATCATTAGTTTCTCATTTCTTTTTACTCGTTTATGAGGTTTTTGATTACGGTTTCATTGATTCCATTCAGGATTTAAACATTGTTTAATTAATCGTGGAATATCTGACATCATCTATATATAACTTCTTTTATTTCATTATGTTTGGGCTGAGTGTAAATGTCTTACAATTTTGAAAATTTTTTAAATCTTGATTTATTCAAAAACGTAAGAATAAAAACCGTAAGAATCATACATTTATTACTTCATATGTTAAAAAAAATGATACAAAATCGTTCTATATTGTATGAATTCTTACGTTTACAAAAAAAGTCACACAACCCGTCATATATACTACTGAGGAATTTTAATTTTAATGTTTTTATATTTTTAATAAGAATTTTAAAATTTTCATGATACATCTTTGCCTGATACGTTTTCACGAAGTTAAGAGCACCCATTAACTGAAAATTTAAAAATCTCTTAATGCATTGTTTCTTCTTGTTTTTTTTTCTAAAGTTCTTAAATCAAAGCTCTATAATTCTTTTTTAACTACAATTACTAATTCTGTTTATCTGATATTTTTAAATTCCTTTTCCTATCATTTTTCTGCCTCAATATGGAGTGAAACTATCAAAAATTTGAATAAGAGACTTTACGAAGGAAAATGGGTTTATATGTAAATGTATATTAAAGAATTAATTGAAAAAAAAATCTTTATTTTTAAAACAGAATTAAGGGTGCACTGTAATCGGTATTGTTTTTTATTTTAAGCTCCTTTTATTTGTTTACACCTCCATATCCATGGCTATTTTCTAAACAAATTCATAAGTTTTTCACTTGGTTGCCGATTCAAAAGGAGTTTTTCCATACATATTTTAAACGGCTAACATTAAAAATTGAGCGGTGGATTTCATAAATGATTCTAATTTGCAGCATATTTATACAGTATTATTCTATTATGAACATATTGAATATATTATATACGATTTGTAACTTCTAAAATAATATATCTATTACATTTGGTAGTGAGTTTTCACACATAAATTGTTAACTCAAATGAAAAGTGGACTTAAGGCTGCACTTACGCCCATCTGACATTAATTCAAATTTTTGACAACCGGCGTGAAGCGTCATTAAAATTCAACCTTAAACTATTGAATTGAAGCCCATGTCATAGGGGCGTAAGTACATCCTTAAATTTTGAAGAATAAAATATCAATCATTCAATGCACATTTTTCCTGCACAACAATATGATTAGAACTTTCCGATATATCAAAATTTGAAAGTGTCAGTATGGAGGGAAAGTACGAATTTTTTTTAATTTTTTTAATTTTTTTTATTTTTTTTAATTTCTTGAGTAATATTGAAAACAAGAAGTTTGTCTAGACTTTTTAATGCTCGATTTTAAGGTTCCGTCAAATTTACACTTTTGTTGCGTTTTTAAAGGCTTTCACGCATGTAAAAAACACCCCAAAAGTGAGATTCTCACGCTTATGATTATTTTTGTTTTTAATGCCGTACAGCATTTGAATCAAAAATAATCGTTTTCATGAGAAAAATCGTTTGAATCACTCCTAGAGCTATTACAATAGCTCACTAAATATAACTGCAATGGGATATATACTTAAGTTTGAGCGTATTTTAATTTTAATTTCTTCGCAGCAAATGAATTACTTGATTTACTTTCGAATTGCTTGAATAAGTATTACATATTAAATATATTACATTTAAATGTTAACTCAGACACGAAATGTCAAATTGAATTCAATTTATCGCTTAAGGGCGTGCAGCAACATACAGATTTGGCAGCTTGAACTTAATTCTATATCCATATAATGAATATAATTAATGTAATACAATTATAACAGAATTATAGAAAAATATATATGTTTTGCATGGTCAAAATGAAAAACACTTCTAGCGAGTATGCAACAATATAATTCCAATAAACCTATATAGGAAGTATCAGAATATATGTTTAGAAACAAAAATTTGCAATTTGAACTTGATTCTCTCTTAATTTCAAAAGTCTGAATAGGTAATCTATCTAATTTTTCTTAAATACTGAATTTTTAGTTGACCTTCTGACAATTCCATTTCCAAACTATGATTTTGAAATTGAAATCGAATCAAATCTTCAATTTTTTCTTAGTAAATCTTATTTTCCGAGTTAATTCCCATTATACAATGATAAATAGAATCAATTATATAATTTTTACACACCGAGTGAACTTATCAAGATTCTGAAGGAGGACACCAATTTTGAGAAGACAGTACAGGCGCACTAAATTTCTAAAAAAGTAACATAAAGCAATTTAAAGTTAATATTTTTGTTTTTATATAAACTTAAAATTGAAATAAGTATCGTTTTTCGGTATTCAATCTATAGGATAAAAATATCTCGGGTATGCTTTGGAAATCAATCAATTTCTTCTTTAACATATAATTAACATGAACAAACCTTATAAAAATAAAAATTCTAAAAAGATTTCGAATGTAAATATAGAATTATCATGAAAAATTCAATACTTAAGACATTTTATAACAAACACGAAGATTAACAATCATAGTGCTATCAACAAAATCTTCGAACATTCATTTTGGAATTGATGGAATTTGGGTATTATTCCCTTGAGAAACAAGATCTTCTATACGAGGAATTGAAGGAAATTGGAATTGGGCTGGGGGATCTGCCTTTGGTTTTTGAGGCCTTGGGTGATGAGCTGCGGCCTTTTTTTGGTTTCTCTGAATTTGACAAAATCTAATTTTAACTTGGTCACCTGATCTATTTTTTGTTAAAAATTTAGATATTGTTGCCCAATTATTATGAAATAGTTTATACCCTTCTAAAATAACTTTATCCTCTTCGGGTGTGAAGGGAGACATATCCTTACTTAAAAAACTCCTATATCTCTCTTCAATCGCTTTCTTTTTATGAAGATCTCCAATAAGTTCGAGAATACGAGATATAGCCCTTTCTTTATCATTGGGATATTGACTATAAAACTCAAGAATAACTCTATCATCTTCTTTAGTAAATCTGTGAACGACTTTACTCATTGCTAAAAAATGAAATCGTGAAATTCAATATTTCTGAATTAAAATATTAATGATTTGTAATATTCTACCTATTACCGATAAAATCGGGAATAAAAATTTCAATGGTAGCTCGTATACAATTAGAATTTTGAATTTCCGCGGTTTTCAATTTTGAGAGGTTCAAAAATTGTAAATATTCAGGTATTTGACTCGATTTCAATTCGAATATTCTGATTTAATATTATTAGTTTATATAGATAGATGTTAATCAATATTTTTCAACCTCAAATCGCCTCCATTTTGAGTATTTTTTGACTCGGTTTCCTTCTCAAAATAGTATCCTGGAAAAACCATGATTCGATTAAATTCACCTGTTTTTAAAGTGAAACGACTTTCCAAAAAACGAATAAAAGGGCATTTTCAGACCAAACCCCGGCTATCGTCATTGGCATTTGGGTGGTTAACGTTTAGTTTACAATTAATATTCATGCTCTACTAAACATTTTTTATCAAAAAAGAATGAATAAAAAGAAAAAACATGGAAGTTCTTGAAGAAAAATAATTTTCGGAAAAAATTTGATGGGTAATTTACATATATTATTTTTATACATAAGTAACCAACTTACATTTTATAAAGAAACGTTTGGAGAATCCTCTTTTTCGGATTCTTTATCTTCATGCTGTTCAGCTTGTAATTGCTGTTGTTTCTTCTTTTCGAAATATTGTTGCATATAAGCTGGGCAGCTTACAATAACAAATGAACCAACCATATTACCAAGGGAAACGAGAATCAAGTTAATGAACGTGTTCTTCCACGTCATATTCTTTGGACCATTGACTTGCATGATACCATTTGCTAAGCAGAACCAGTTTGCCATGCAGTGCTCTAAGCTCATTGTAGAGAAGTTACCGATAGCCATGAAAACAGCAAGGCATTTGCCGCAGAAGGTCTGAGACATATTAGCCATGAATGTAGCAATTGAAACGAGAGCATTGCAAGCCATAGCACGGACAAACATTTCGTGATATTTCATATGTGTCTTCTTAAAGCAAACTGCAGCAACCTTTTGTCCTACAAAACCATCATACGGGTTTCTTGAAACACCTGTTGCCCAACCTGTGAAGAAGGCACCGAAAATGCAACCCAAAGCATTGAAAACATAAGTCATTGCTGCTGCATAAATGAGTCTGCCAGCTGGAGCACGTCTGTTAAGACCTGCAAGACAGATTGGAACGAAATCACCTGTAAATAAGTAATCGTTAAGGAAAATGATGTAATGGAGACCAATAGCGAAGCAAAGAGCAAACATAATTGTTTGTCCTGATTCAAGTTGAGCAACGACACCGAAAAGGAAAGAGAAAGAAATCATGACACCTGAAAGGAATGATCTGATCATGAAATTCCATACATTTTGATATGCACGGATAGCACCTGCATCTGTGATCCTGTTTGCTGCCTCACCATATGAGATCATATCGCTGATAAGCGTTGTTGGCTTCATGAAAAATGAATTAAATTCTTGGGATACTCGATTTATTTTTTTCAATTAGGAGAACTTATTTATTGAATTTCAAAAATATTATCACATTTCTATTGACATGCAGAATTAAACACATTTTGTTTTCATCGTTATTTTTGAATGGGAATTAACAATCAGAATTCAAAAATTTCAATAATTATATAAATTTCTGAAGGACCTATCCATATATTAATTTCGAAGCATTACTCATGCAAGTTAATAAAAAACATTTCAATTTGACAATTTTTCTTGGAAGACGAACAAACTCACAAACTGCCTCAATTAACAATCCGAACAAAATTAATGGGGACGGTTTGATAGTATCATTGCAATGATAGAATACTCATAGAAACAAGCTTGAAATAAAGCTTTGTTTCAGTTTTGATTTAATCAATATTTTGGAAATGAAAAATAAGATTCATATCATGAGCCACATGGCTAACACACAATATAATATGGCTAAATAAGGATATATCCTTTGAATATTCTTTCGATTGTTAATATTCACCAATTTGCATATTGCAATCAATAGTATATTTCTAGATGATGTTTTTGGCCATCATAAATTTTCATAAAATTTTACTTTCAAAATTTGATTAATTCAAGATTAGTGATAATATGAAATAAATAGTGCCATTAATTTGCTATGACACAAAATAATATTTTTGACGGAAAAATACTCACAGTTTGAATAGTTTTACGGGAACTATTGAGTTTTTTAACAAATTTCAGAGATATTGTTTTCTGGGTTGAAAAATCAGTTATTTTATTATACTACAATTCTTCTATTTATATTAAATTTTTATAATTTGAGTGGAAAATTTGCTTGTTAATTAGATAATCAGTTTGGAATAACATCCAAGCGATCGGCTACGCCAATTATATATAGTTTAGATCATGTATCACATTTATAGAGTGAGGGGATTATTTTGATCAGTTTTGAGATTTTGAATTTTATTTTTTTTAATTTCCATCTTTATCAATATGGGAAACATAAAACTCACCATCAGCCTTGAATAAATCAATTGGAAGAATGTTATTTTCGACTAGTCTGAGTAAAACATCTTCAGAAATATTTTTGAACTTAACCTCGCTAAAGGTTTTGTCATCTAGCGTGTTTTTGTCACGGTTCAGCCATCCTCTACAGTTCGGAGAACCGCATAAACATTTGATTGCCTTATCTTCCGGTTCATAAGGTAATTTATAATCATAAGTCAATTCTTCGCACGGATTAATGTCTTTGATTGCAACTAACACTACAGCGAAACGACCATTGAGTTTAATAATTCGAGATTCACAATTTGGATCGCAACTGTGATTAATCCATCTCGCAATGCCTCCACGAAATGTTGCATCTAAATAATGATCTGAATCTGCCTTAAAAACATAAGTTCCGTGGTTTCCCATTTTTTCATAATTTATTTGTCTTTTATCAGCTATAATTGGTCTTATAACTTCACCAATATATTCTATGACTTTCTCGCCTTTCCGAATTGGTATCGTTGTTTTCACTCCAAAACCTTCAATTTTACTTTTCTCAAATCTGATGTAATTTAGTTTCATGTCTTTGGTATCGAGTTCTACTGAGATAAGATCAGAGTTCGCGCCTTTGAAACTCGATAAAAGTTGATAAAATTTTTGATTTTGTCTTTCTTCATCTTTAAGAGTTTCCTCGATAATATCCAATTGTTTTCTATTGGCATTTGCTGCTCTGTAATATTTGTCTCGTTTCTTGAATGATAAACACTTAATCGGAACAATTCTTGAACACTTAGGGATTTTTCCTGTAACAAGTTGTGCCTTTGGTCTGCTTATAACTGCTGGCTTTATATCTTCGGTTTCTGGCGGAATTTGTGGAGGTGGTAAAGGTAAATTAATATTATCGGTTTCTTTTTTAACTTTTTTAGTTATTTGAGGTACAGGAATGCTTGGCTTTTCGAATTTGATCTTTGGTTCTTTAGGTTTTTCATTCTGGGGAATAATTTTTGATGATTTTTCTTTCTTTTCACGTTGATGATCATGAGAGGTAGTTTTACGATCACCAATATCAATTTTAACTCTCAAATCTTTATTTTCTCTATTAGGTCTTCTATGATTTTCAAATCTTTCTCTCTTTTCAATTTGACTAGGATGATCTGCATTTTCATGTCTGATATGTTCTCTCGTTACTCGCATTTCAGAATTTTGTTGAATATTTTTTGATCTTGATCGAATAACTTCTTTTTTATCTTCTTTATTATTATGATTCATAACTTTTGGACTATCAGAACGAGTGGGTGTTTTTATTTCTGATTTATCTTCACGATTTGTCATTCTATTTGAAAATGATTTTTTTCTTTCATCCTCATCGTATGAACTAGGATTATCCAGCGAATCACTCGAGCTATGCCTACGTTGTGGCCGGATTCTCTTGTTCATCATCATTTTTACTAGAAATAAAAGGCAAAATTTAAAATGTGCTAAAAAGTGACATTTATCGGAATAGTGCTGAAAATTAGTTTTACGTTTAATTAATCATACTAACAATCACCATTCAAAATGATAAGTTATGAAAATGAATAAAAAGTGCAATGATAGAGGTAGGGTAACGATAGGTCAAAAAGGCTTCTCTGATAGATTTCCTTGCCTTTTGGATATGCTATAATATATAGCCTAGCATGATAGGATATGATGTCAAAAGTTAGAACATAACTTAGGATCTTGAGAAAAATGAAAAACAAAAATTACATAAAAAAAGAAAAATTTTATCTAATTTGTTTTTTTGGACCGAATAAGTAATTTTATTGAATTTCAATACGACACATAGATTTTATTATTAGTAATAAATATAATGGTTTACTATTAACAAGGAACCTAAACTAATGAAAATTTGATTTCAAATATTGTATATGATTATCATAGATTACCAAAATATATTGCTATTTATGAGGATATAATATTGATTATTAGTAAATCGTATAAATTTAATAAATATACCATGAATATTGAATGAATTTCTTGATTCATAGGGGTAAAACGCGCTTTTATATGATTTAGACAGAGAATTTATGAGATGTAAATAACACAATAAAGGTTTATATTGAATATTTTCTAAAAATAAATCGAAATTATAAAAAACAATACATTTATTCATTGAAACTACTTGGACAAATATGAAACAAGCATTCAGGCAATACTTTTGAGACTTCAACGCATCTGATAATTTTTATATAACTTCACCTCTTATGCTTAGAGTGGAGGTATTGAGATCGTATAAGTATAGATGAGCTCACATTCAGATATGATGTGTGAACTTCTGTTTTCACTGCAATTTTGAATCAGAATAAACTCAAAACAAGAATAAAATGATATACTCACTCTCTAAGTGTGTTCGAGATTTAAAGTTGTATGAATAAACGATTCATCTTTCGAAGCCTCCCATTTAATGAGAGACTTCGAAAGATGAATGTATTCATGTAGATGAAATACTATATATGACCATGTGTGATACTAAAGATATCAAAATGTTCATTTTTAAGTGCAATAGAAGGGTTATCTCTCGTAAAATCTCAATTTAAGGAAGATTAGAAAGAACTCCTTTCCTAAGTAGATAGTGTGTGGTTTCTGTCTTTTGGTTGATCAGGAACTATGAAATTAAGTCGGATAGAAGAAGTTCTTTCCAAAACAGACTCCAAATGAGTTGTTCGAAAGAACTTCCTTCTGTATATGGATAATTGTAGTTACCGCACTGAAGTATGTGATTGTGATGATGGAGTTCTCGATAAATCTAAAATCGGATTAAGATTAATTGAAAACTCAAGTAATTCTTTGAAATCTTGTGTTGTCTGGCACTATAATAACCAAAGAATGAGAATATTATGTTTGAATGATGAGTACGTGTGCTCGGCATTCGCCGAGCGAATTGAGTTTAACGTACTATGAAAAGTGACAAATTTGGGCTTTTTTTCCTAGGGTTATGATCTCTTCCTTTCTGCTCAATTCGACAGAAATGAAAGAATGAATTTGTACTCCTAATTGATTACTACAATCTGTATCTATCTTTAACATAGAATTAGCTGCATTGTGATTTATACTCCAGAATTATTTCAATTTAAGATCACCTCGTAAATTTTAATCATATTGCACCAATACTCCTACGTAGAGATAAGAACATGATTATACATACCAAAGCCCCATATTAAAAATCAAAATTTAGCACCTCCATTATGCAACCACATTATTCGTCGCAAATAAGTATATTTACGCATATTATGATGCATATTCACACAAACTCGTATACATGAAAAGTTATTAAAATCAGACAAAATTATTGCAATAAGGAAAAAAAACAACTTTATTATATATGTTAGTAATGAATTACAAATATTTCTACAAAGAATGCTCAATACTTCATATAATCTTCGAATATTTCTTATTACAAGTTAATACATTTTGACTCGAACATGATAAACAAAAGCTGACACGCTGATTACTACATTTATGAAAATATAGTACGTTTCCATTCATCTGTTTACTTGTTTTTGTTGGAATAAAATCATTTTTTTTTCTTTCATGAAATAAGAATTTTGCTGCGAAAGCAATATCTCTAACATAATTAATACATTACGTCAACTCTGGAATGAGTATTTATCAAATATGATATCAAAATCAAAAATTAGTTGTTTTTTATGAGTAAAAACGATGTAAATTGATTATTTGACTAATTATCAAATACTTTGATTTTCCAAATTTTTTTCGAAATTGATTTTTTCATGTGAAAATTCAAATTATTTAATTTCATTTTTTAAATTTTGAATTTTTTTTGGAATTTTGAGTTGATCAATTCAGCAGAATTGATAATGCTATTGCTTTAGGGCATACCACAAGGTGATGAATAAAAGGTGAACATTAACAAATTATTTTAAATCACAAATATCATCCTCATCAACTTTAATTCTAAAAGAACTGTACTGAATTATGAAAATGCATGATTTACATTATTAAAATCTTTGAATGAAAATAGTACAGGATAAGTTTTTATTCATTTTTAATTAGATTTAAACGAAAAACTACTCCATATTAAAATTTAAGTCGAGAAATCGTATTTTGTTCTTATTTGTTAGCATTTTGTAGACATTCTAATCTTGAATTAATTTGTTACATGATATTATTAACAAATTTAACTGAAAAAATATGTTAATATGGAATAAACCATGATTATATAAGCTATCAATGCTATATATACATATGTAAAAGATTCATATTAACTCAATTAACAAAAATGATAGATTTTCATAAAGGTTCAATCTAGGTTCGTCCGAAAATTTTGATTTTTATATAGAAGACATAGTTTCATATACATAATTAAATTTTCAAACAAATTTGATCATACCATTTATTAAGCAGGATAGTATATTAATTACTATCAGTATAAAAATATAAAAATGATTATATTTAATTATTGCATAATTTAGTCAAAGAGTTATAAGCCTCAAGTGATCGTTATCACCTTCAATGCACGTATACTTTATTGATTCATAGATATTTAATCTATGTTTGACATGTTGTTGTCGTCATTCGTTTTGTTCCCATTCTTCCTAAGTTAGAATTAGAGAATACATCCACATCATCTAATTTGGTCCTCAGCGATAGATTGGTTCATTTTGGAGGAGTCCCATCAGACAGTTTTCGAGCACCAAATATCAAATTTTAATGTATACAAATCTTTAGTGATTTATCTCTTTTATGATGAGTAAAAGGTTTCTGCTCATCAACATTTGATTTCCGACATATATGATTTCTAATTGCAATTATTTACTTTCTTTTTATAATCTAACTCTGTGACTCATACCATAAATTAATTATTGGAAAGTGTCAATATGTTTGGCACAACGCATGGCGGAAGATACCAAACCATGCAGGGAATATGATACGTTTAAGATCTCCGAACTTTTTTTCCAAAAATTTTCTATCGTTGCCCTACCTCTGCAATGATGATTCTTCTGAAAATTGAAAGAATTTGTAAAGCTCTGGTCGACCTTTTAGGATGTCTGCTGAAGAAGCTCAGGCCCAAGCTCCAGTTGAAGAGAAGAAGGAAGAAACAAAGACAGAGGAAATCCCACCAAAGCAGCCACGCAAGATCAACCGTGCTGAAAAGAAGATGCGCGATGCCCTCCTCAAGCACAATCTTAAGGAACTCGAGAACGTCACAACAGTCACAATACGTGCTGGCAACCAGATGGTCTTCTCCTTCTCCCAGCCAGACGTTTTCTACATCGATAACGTCTACATCGTCTTCGGCGAGAACAACAGATCCGATGCTGCTTCCGCTGCTTCCCAGTCCATCTCTGATGCTGCTGGCAAGGCTGCTGAACAGGCTCCAGTCGTTGTTGAGAACGAAGATGAAGAAGCTCCAGATGCCACAGGTCTCGATGAGAACGATATCAAGATGGTCATGCAACAGGCTAACGTTTCCCGCGCCAAGGCTATCAAGGCCCTCAAGGACAACAACAACGATATGGTCACAGCCGTCATGAACCTCACAGTTTAAATAAAATAAGCTGAATTGGTTTATTTTACATAATTCTAACTCTTTTTTTCATTGAGAAATTTTTAATTTTGAATTTTTATAATATTTTTGAATTTAGTTATGAAAATCGAAGTTTTCAATGAGTAAAAATGATTTGGATTTATAGAAATGATTATTTAATACAACAAAATGAATTAATAAAATTTAATTCTTTGCCTGAACATCCCAGTCAAACCAAGAGAAGTCGAAATCATCCCAATCTTCAACAACTTTGGTTGGACGAGCTCCGTATTGCTTAACATTCTCCTCAAAGTCAGTTCCATCGTTGTGAAGCATAACAACATTCATTCCGGCATTTCTAGCAGCGACAACGCCGATGTAGGCATCTTCGAAGACGAGAACGTTTTCTGGCTTGAAATCACCTAATTTCTTTGAAGCGACGAGGAAAACTGTTGGATCTGGCTTGGCTTGCTTAACTTCATCACCGCAAACTGTTGTCTGGAAGAGATTTCTGATTTCTGGGTGTTGAGAGTATTTGATTTCGAAGGGTTCTCTTTGGCTGCTTGTTCCAATAGCTTTTGGAATGCCCATTTCGTGTACTTTACGAATAATTCTATCAATGCCTTTAACAAGAGGTGAAAAAGCTAGTCTCTTGTTGATGATTGGATCTCTCTTAGCTAAATACTCTTCTGGTGTCATGCCCATGTTGTATTTTGTAACCATTGCAGTAGCAACATCGATGTCCGATCTTCCATTTAAGGAAACCTTGAATTCTGTTGTAAATTTGTCGTTGGCCATTTCTTCCATCATCGACCAGTAGATGGCGAGTGTGTCAACAATCGTACCATCACTGTCGAAAATGCAGGCTTTGATCTTATTAGGGACAACAAACTTTTGCTGCTCAGCCATTATATAAAAATGAGCGGAATTTCTCAAAAATTTTTGATAAGAAAAAATTAAATTTTGTGAAGAAAGGTGGTCACTAAATGAAAGAAAAATTTATCCATTCACTGATTATTCGTTCTTAGTAGTATATGAGTGCGGGTTGTGTGACTTTTTTTGTTACATCTATATATAGACGATGCATTAAAATATATTTATTTATAAACCATTAAAAAATTAACATTAATTTTAAAATAATTTATTTTTTTATCTTTTATAAAAGAAGCTATATATAGATGATGTCAGATATTCCGCGATTAATTAAACATTGTTTAAATCCTGAATGGGTTAAACTTCAATTTAAAAATGAAGATTGTGAATTATTAAATGAATATGAAAGCCAAAATAAGCTAATGAGGTATAAATATAATGATAAAGAATATTTAATTTCATGGAATCAATGGAGTCATAATCAAAGACCTCATAAACGAGAAGAAGAAATTGAAAATAATGAAATGGAAATCATTGATGACATTAAAGAGGATGGAATTCCTAAATTTTGTAGAAAAACCTTTAGAACTAAGTTAGGAGCATATAAACGTAGAGTATTAAATCCTGAATATCTTAAACATCAATTTAAAAAGGAAGACTGTGAATTATTAAACGCTAATGAATATGAAAATGCTAAATCAAAACTGAGATATAAATATATTGGAAGTGATGAAAGGTGTAAAGATAAAGATAAAGTTTATTCAGTTTCATATAATAACTGGCACACGTTAGGGATAAGAAAACATTTAGGAGATTATGGGAAATGTTCTGAATTCTTTAAATCTAGTATGTACGAGAGAATAAAAGAAATTAGATATAATTATCATTCATGAATGAAAGATTCACTACCATAATGAAATAAAAAAAAATAAACTTTAAAAATTCATGTCTTACATTTTTTGAATAATTTATTTTTTTAATTCGTATGAAAATGAGTGGATCAAGATTCGTAACCGTCAATCAATTAATGGATGTTCTTTCACCAATTCTTGAAAATGTTAAACAAGTAGATGTTTATTTCGATGATTATGTAGAAAGTATATATTATAAAGGTAAGTTTAATATTAAACCTATTGCTTTTGCATTTGATAATAAATTAATTGAAAATGCAAAAATTTGGGAATTAATTCCAGATATTGAATTTATAACAAATATTAATGATAAATGGTTTAAACGAATTCCAACCACAAAAGTTCTTTGTAAATTAATGATCAAAACTGAGGAAAAAGAATTTAACGGGTTTAAATATCATCCAAATAAAGTTTCAGAACTAGAAAATGAAAAACTTCAGAAAAAATTAAACGATAGACTTTCAAATGATCGTATTGAAAAAATAAATAAACTAGCAGAAGTTGCATTTAATAATGAAATATTTGATGAATATAACCTTGAACTCAGTGATGGACTTTAAGTCCTGGGCACTTTGTGCCTTGAGCTTTAAGGACCCGGGCTCAACGAGTCATGATTTATGAAATCAATAATTTGATTTATTCGCTCTTCAATAATTTCTATTCTTTTTGTTAAATCATCAATTTTCATTAATGAGGTGATTCTTGATTGAGGAATAGATTTTAAACTAACAACACCTTTTATTTTTGAAATTTTGAATCCATGACCCTCCGGGTCTTGGACTCTGTCCTCAACTTTAAACATTTTATTCAATTTACATGTTGTCAATTCTTCAAATAATTTTTTATTATTAGCATAATAGTCATTAAATTCATCAACAGATGAAAAAATTTTTATTTCAGTAATTGGTTTAACAACGTTTATTTTTTGTTGAACATTTTCACTTTCATTTATTTCTTCCTCCTCTGTTTCATTTATTTTTAAAATCGGTTTCATTTATCATTAAATAAAAAATTAGAATATAAGTGATGAAATATATTTTTTAATTAATATTAAATCAGAGATGGCGGCAGGATTCTTTAAAAAATTATGGGAAGGAATTAAGAAAGCTGCAAGTTGGGTTCATCAAAAGATTATTAAACCCGTTGCAAACTTTTTGGCACCAGTAGCGAAAACGGCAGGAACTATCATAGGAGGAGTATTAGGTGCTAAAGCAGGTAATCCGGCGATGGGAGCACAAGCAGGTAACGCAGTTGGTGGAATTGCTGAAGGAATACTTAATAAAATAGGGGGTAGATAGTGGAAAAATAAATAAATATTATTTTTATCTTAGTATCGGTTGTAGTCGACGATAAACCTTATCTCCTTTATTTAATACTTCCCTTACCGGAACATTAGGTGCTATTTGTTCAGCAACGTCACTAATTGCTTCTTTATTCTTAAATATCCAATTTGCTCCTTTCTTAATCCCTTCCCAAACTTTATGCGCTCCTCTTTTTACTTTATCCCACAGTTTCTTAAAGAATCCTGCAGCCATAGTTGATTATTTCATTAAAATTAAAAATTCATTTTCATCTTTTAATTTTGATTTTTTATTTAATAATAAATGACGACTAACTATTTAGTGCCAAACACTAAACCGATTAATGGAAATGTATTTCATTCATTCGAAAAGATAAATGAAATATTCGCAAAGAATGATGGAGAAGATATTATAGAGAACTTGAAAGTTCATGCTATGACTCTGATGCTCCATATTTTGATGATAAACAAACTCATTTAAGAATTACAAATCCGGCTCATGATGTGAACCAATTAGGTGACACATATATTAAACGCAAAGTTAAAGCAACTCTAGTTTCAAATAAAGCTTTCACATGTGATGCCGCTTTTAAATGCATGCGTTTATTCGTTGGTTACAAATCATCAAATCAAAGCTTTAAACAATTAGAAGTAGAAACCGAAAGAGGTGATGCTGGTTATCTTCAGATGGATTGCGCCCGTGAATCTTTCGCATTTGCAACATATAAACCAAAATCAGAAAGGAAAGTTAAAAAGTTTGTTCATTCGTTATATAATAATGTTCAAAAATATGATAACTCAGTATGTGGTAAATATATTGACCCTTCAGAAGTTTTCAAGAAAGCAAATGAAGAAGTTGATGTCACTTTTGATATGATTATTCCGGTAAATGATTTGTTAGCATTTCAGGCGTTCGATGATTATCCTAAATCATTTGGTGAAATCATTCTTAAATATTATGTTTTCAGGGATACTTTAGTATTTTGTCAGGTTGACCCGTTAAGAGTTGCTGATTTACAAAATTACGTTTATGAAAAGATAACTGATGAAAATTATGAAAAGATTATGAATCATGTTTATAAATATGATCGCAAATTCCAACAAATCGGACTTCCTGCCAAATTAATTACAAGCTTAGCCGCTACATCTGCTGACGCAACAGTTGAAGACGTTATTATTTCATGCACAAAGATGGAAGTTTTAGAGGATAAATGCATTACACCAGGATACGGTTTAATTGAAGAATCAGTTAAAGCAATACCACGTTTATTTAGTAAGGAAGATCCATTCATGATTCCAGCTCAACATATTGACGTTCGTTCACTAAATGGAGGTTGCATCACTCCTGAAGGTATTAGCTCAGATTTCTCATACGCTCTTCATAATGTTACAGATGTTGTGTTAACATTTCCGAAGAATGCAATGCAAAGAACGGTTTTAGAAAATCCAATGCTTCGAGGTCTTCAGGTCACTATAGATTCCAGAAACTTCCCCGATCAAGCGATGACCACAGTGGGTGACATATTCTTTACACGTATGCTTCAAGCTTCTGATTTAGATGGAGTGAATGAATGCACAGAAGAATACGAGGACTCATTAACTAGACCACTGAATGATGATGATGGCACACCATTAGCTAGAACATGGAAAGACCAAACTTCATTCTTATGCACTATTCCAGTTCAACGTGATGGAGCGGGTATATTCTTTGATGGATTAGAAACTTTCAACTCACAAGTTACAGTACAAGTGAAAGCTTATCCAATCATTCAGGGTGAAAATGACACTTACTGTTCAAAAGTGACAAATCCTCCTCAGGTTTGGTTTACTAGGACTACATATTGGACATGGACACCGGATGAAGGTTTGAAATATCATCCAACAGGTACACCACCGCAGTATAGAAGTTCATATGATGAAATATTGATGAATAGAAATGTTTAAAATTATAAATTTATTTTTGATTAAATGGATTTAAATTCATCCACCCCTTATGAAGAATTAGCAGGAGTATATAATACATACGTAGATGATATGATTAATGAAGCATTGAGTGATAATAGAAATGCTCTATCTAAGGAAAAATTAATGAAAATTCCATATTCTGAATGTTACTTAAATTCAATCACTGCAGCAATTGGTAAACAAAATAAAGGTAAAACATTAACGATATTAAAACAAATTATCATTATTGCTAACACTTCCCCTATTCACATGTGTTAATTTATATCAACCGTTCAGGTTCACCTTCAGATGATACATTTGAATCTTTAAAGCATTTAATCAAAATTCCAATTATTTATTTATCACAAGAAGAAGCAGAAGATTATTTAAAAAACTTTGTAATGTATAAAGAATTATATAATACAATCAAGAAGCAAGGATTAGAGGATAAAATTATTGATAAACAACGGGATGAATTATTTGAAACACTTTCTATTTCAAATTTTGATAGAGAATTTTTGCATTCACTCATTTTTCTAGATGATGCGGTGAAATCAAAACTAATAACTAATGAGAAATCATATTTTAATCAATTATTAACTCAATGTCGACACATTCAGTGTTCATTCTTCATGGCTGTTCAATACTTTAAAGCATTAAGCACAAACATTAAATCAAACCTGTCCACCCTTTTCATTTTCAGTGGTTTTAGTCGTCAACAGTTGAACGTTATGCTTTATCAAGTGAATTTACCAATGAGCATTAATGAACTTTACACACAATATCAACAATTAGGAGAACATGGAAAAATAATAGTTGATTTAAATAAAGGTTCCATTAAATTCGAATAACTTTTTATAATTAATTTTTATTTTTTATTT